GGCAATCCAGTACAAAAGTGGTTGTACTTACTTTACATGCACATTGGTATAAACAAATGCTGCAGCTATTCCATGTTCCATTTAAAGACATATCACAATATGCTTTTATTTTATACTACTGACACCAGCCTCAAAATGAACAATGCAAAACACAGCTAGTTCAGAAGCATCTCAGACATGGCAGTAATACAGACTTTAGATATGTTTATAAACGCATTACTTTAAAAAACACTAAGATGTTTTGTTTATTTCACATTTTATTCCTTCCAGTGGTGGTAATTTTAACTTCATAAAGTTTAGTCAGCAGGGGGAGCAGTACGCTCACCCACCTGAAACTCCGCCTACGAGCACAGCCATTGGCTCATAAGCTGCAGAATGCTCTTGTTTGATTGGCTCCCTACCAAAACATATGAATTTTTTAGGGCATGCTTCTTGTAAATGATATGTAAATGAGGTTCTGGTAGACTGGCACTTGATTTCAGGCACTGGAGCTGATTCATCATTCGCACTCAAGTCTTGTTTCAACACTGTACGAAAGTTTCATGAATCAGATGCAGAATAGTTTGTATGTCAGTATAGGCGGTCATATCTGCACTCTTTTTTGTGCAACTTTGATGGACTTTGAGTGAGAGGTGAGGCTTGATTTGGTCAAGAATTCATTTGTTTGTTGTCCTTGCCATCAAAGGTACTCTCAAAAGTCTTCAAAGTTTAAAGGAATCAGTATTTTCTTCTTTGTCCAGCTTTTGCATCCTTAAAGAACCACAGAAAAGACCAAAGTCTGGACGATTCTGATCTTTATTTGTAGAAACACATAAAGAGTGTTATTATCCTTGTTTTGCCGAGTGCCAGTCTGTGTTGTCTTTCTTGACTGCTGGATCCTCTGTTGTTAATCACTGATCTACATAAGCAAAAATGTCCACCACTTCTGCAATTTCACCATCAGTGGTAAAGTTAGCACATCGCTAAATGGTGGGGCGTAAGCTTCCATTACTTTGCTGCATTAGCCTCATAGGCTTCAGCACAATACTAAAGAAGCAAACTTCTGTCTCAGCTGATCAACTACATGTAGGGTAAGCAAGGGAAAATATTGCTTGAAAATACAGGATGATTCAAAAAGATTCATCCGTTTTCAAAGTGCCATATTTTTACAACCGTGAAATGCCTAGGGACCAATCACATACCAATTGAAAGAGGGGGTCATATTGTTTCTGACTGTCACTGGCTCGCTTCAGTCTGCAAGGAGATGGAGACCCCTGAGCAGAAAGCATTTTACGTTCTCCACTTCAATAAGAGTGAATCCGTCATGACTGGGCAACATGATTTTCATCAGCATTGAATCTTCAACAGCTCACAGCGTTCGTCGTTGGTTCCAACACAGGTTGATCTCTGAAATCGCACTGAAAGAGCTGTGAGCACAGTGACACCCAACATGCTCAATCGAGTGTGGGATGAATTTGACTGTTGCGTTGAGGAGGTCATACTCAGCACTCATAAAATTACATAATAAACTTTATGCTCACTTAAACCTTCTACAGTTTACTGCATTCTTCTGTAATGATTTACAAGTAAAATAAATCATTTTGAAATTGGATGAATCTTTTTGAATCACCCTGTATCCTAATAATTTAAAGCCTATTTTGTTGAGCTTACTTAGACAGTTTTTGCCAAACCTGCCTTGACTTGCTTGAGAGTTCATTCTAAGGCTGTCAAAATAAGCCACTTTCCATAAAGCACTGAAAGTAAACCCCACTAATGGGACTTTTACACTCCACTCTACCTGCGGCTTTAAAGTTTATTTAAGTCAACAAAGTTGCTGGTTGGTAATTTATTCCAATGTAGAGGTCTCTCTTTCTCTCTCTCTCTCTCTTTTCTCTCTCTCTCTGGAGAGCCAGCGGCGGTGTTGTTGGAGTTCAGCCATGACAGTCATAGTCATGGCGACATGCCGGCTGTTTCCACACGATGCAGCTCATGCAAAATTAATGATGGGAACGTCTCCAAAAGGTTGTGTTCACAGTGGTGGAGAGAGAAAGTGGGAGAGGGAGAGGATATTTAATTAAACGAATCAAAACATTCAGAGAAATGCTCTAGGTACACAACCCTGACTATCGCCATGCCAACCACGATTTGTTTACATTTACATTGTACGCTCTTTAGATACTGTAGTTTGGGGTGAAACGGATGCAGGTTGTATGTTGGATGTGGAGTGTTAAAACACCACTGAAGAACAGGGTAAAAGGGGGCTAACAAAGTATGCAGAGAAACAGATGGACTACAGTCTAATTGTAGAACTACAAAGTGTTCCTATATAGTAAGTGGAGCTGATAAAATGGACAATGAGTGTAGAAACAAGTAATGTTATGCCTGATCGGTGTATAATCACTGTTGAATAAAACCAGGTGTCTCCAAAATGGGAACTTTTCAGGAGAAGAAAAATTCACGATGAAATTTTCACAATTCAAACTACAATTAGGTAAAAGTTTTTAAATGAAAAAAAAATGGAGATTGGAGGTTTTGTTTCATCAGCAATGATATGCAAATTATTGTTAACTATCTAACTATTTGTTAAGGGATTGATAGCATGTGAACTATAATAATTATACTATATAAAATGTATTATATTTGTAATGTATAATTAAATATAAACTCTATAGTTAAGATATAGTCCTAACCTTTTGCAACTCACGACTCACACAGCAGACCACAAAAGTTTTTGCGGCTCACAATAGTGACCCGATCATATCAACTGACTGCACTGACCCGATCATATCAAATACACACAATTATAACAAAATAATCAACATAACCTATCAAATTTCACTTGACTATCTAATCACAACCTGTACAGAAATCCCAAATTATCTGTTTGTAGTCAGTTATTCATTCTGGATGAATTCCATTCGATCAAAAAGAGAAACATTTTACAATGACTTGTACTAAAAATATAAACTAAAAACTCTTTAATTCTAGTCTCTATTACTCTGTGTCAGTAATTTGTACAATTATTGTGATGGTTGGGAATAAAACATGAGAGCATTACCTTTAAAATGAGACCAAGATCATGACTGCAGCCTAAAGTATGTGGCAACAGTGTTCCTTTCACTTTGGTCATGCCATTGCAGGCAAAAATGAGGAGACAGTTCAAAGGTTAAAATAGTGGTAACAGAAAAAGTTCTTTTCATCTTTTTTTCATTCAAATTAATGAATTATTTAATTATTTTCCACCTCTGTGTGTTTGAGCTGGAAGGAAAAATGGACACTTCAGTGAAAGCAAATATTGTTAGCAATAAACGAGTCCGCTAACGTTATAGTTATGAGTGATAACATTAATGTATTAATGTTCATGAACTTACCTTCTCAAAACAGAGAACTTTGTGGTCAGTGTTATGGATTTAACAAAATACTCTGTATATGGATTGTTCCAAAGCAAATCTCAGGTAGAAGTAGTGAAGTGATATTATTACTTTTAACAGTGTGAGCTGTCTGAAATCATTTGCTCATGTTAAGAAGACCATGAGTAGGAATTCTCAATCAAAGGCGTTTTTCTTAGTTGGACATTGTAAGTTCCAGCTGAATGCAGCATAAATATGAGGAAGCATGTTGAAGTTATTGTTTTTGGGATTTATTGCTTGTATTTAACAGAACAACAATAAATGCAACAGATGAACATTAAGTTGAGAAACATTGCAACATTCCTTTAACTCATTTGAAAAAGTCTGTTGTGTCGAGTATTTATCCGTGTTTGATTGGTCTAGTTTGGCTGGAAGAGTGGCCAAACCATACTCTTTTCTTTTTTCTTTTTGTTAAATTTACATTAACTCTTCTAAACTGACTAATTTTCAACATTCAAAGCAAAAGGAACCCCCCCCTCACACCTCTACATGGTTCATGTTGGTTATCTAATTTACTCAGAGTGTGATTTCAAAAGTAATCCCAACAGAAAAATCTAATCAGAGTTCATGTGGTCCCTTGTCCATGTGTTATCATAATTGGGTAAGACTTCGTTTAAGGAACACATATTGGAGATTTATTAAGGTTTTGTTAAGTTGAGAAACATTGCAGCGTTCCTTTAACTCATTTGAAAAAGTCTGTTGTGTCGAGCATTTATCCGTGTTTGATTGGTCTAGTTTGGCTGGAAGTTATTACCAGTCATGTTGAACCACACACTATTTGTGAATGTATGTATTTACACGTCAGGGTTTCCTTTTTTATCTCTTTCTCAGTAAATGTAATGATATTATTTCTTTATGTTGCTTGTATAACATTTGACCCTTGCTAAGCCTAATGTATCACTGTTCAGTGCTGCTGAGAAGCCTATAATAGGTTTTTCCCTATACATTTCCTCTATAGCACAGCATGAAGTGATCTTTATTCCTGTTAATGGCCCAGTCCCAATGTAACCCCTGTTCATTTACCCTAGTTAAGAATAAGGAAATGTTTAGGATGTAATGAAAGCATTGATTCCTCTCCTTTGTTCGGTGTATTTTTAAAAACAGTTCAGAATTATAACAAAATAATTGAATCAAATAACAATGAAAAACTTTTTTTTATTCAAAATCAAATTTGATATTTCACAATGCATTGATTCATTTCATTAAAAAATCTATAATAATAATTAAGTTGTGGGGAAATTACAGATTTTATAATTTACTGAATAATTTCTAAAAGACTTATAATTGAGTAAAACTGATGTGAAATTTGAAATTGTTTCCTAAGGAAGTGATATTGAATCAAGTTGTGGTGAAATTCTAGATTTCTTGAAAAATTGTTTCTTAAGGAATCTTAATCGAATTGTGGTGAAATTACGATTTGTTGGGAAACGATTCAGTGCATCATTAAATGAATAGTTTCCTAAAGAATCATAATGAAATGAATCAAACTGAGATTTCCTGCTGCATTATGCCTAATAATCTGAATCAAATCTTTTTAAGGTCGGAGATCTATACATCTTGTGGTGTGTGTGTATGTGTGTTTAAATATTTTCTGGTATTGCTGTGTTTCAGAGGACCAGTTGCCCCCTGGTTTTCCCACTATAGACATGGGTCCCCAGCTGAAGGTAGTAGAGCGTACTCGTACAGCCACCATGCTGTGTGCAGCCAGCGGCAACCCGGACCCGGACATCTCCTGGTTCAAAGACTTCCTCCCCGTTAATACCAGCAACAACAACGGACGAATCAAACAGCTCCGATCAGGTACAGTACCCAGCTTCTGCGCACACTCTTCCGCTAAAGAACAGCCTTTTTCTTTTTTCACCCCTCCCCTGTTTCTTTTGTCTGTTTTTATTATTATTTCATAAAATGTCTTCTTTCTCATGTGGCTTCTCTCAGTTTTGTGTAGATAATGCCATTGTCTCCTTCTCAGCCCCCTCTGCGTTCTCTGTATGTGTGTTTGTATGTGTGTGGGTGTTTATGTGCGTGTTGCTGCGTGCTTTCTGTCTCCGTCTGACCCTCACGAACCTTTCAGGTGTCACGCGTCCTATTTTTTCTTTCGTTATTACCCATGACTCACTGCTGTGACTGCACAGTTAGCTGTTGTCTGCCATTCTTTTGTTATTTTCTTACATTTGCTTTTTACTGCTCCATTGCAGTGAGTGGCCAAACCATACTCTTACTCTTTTCTTTTTTCTTTTTTCTTAAATTTACATTAACTCCTCTCCTAAACTGACTAATTTTCAACATTCAAAGCAAAAGGAACCCCCCCTCACACCTCTACATGGTTCATGTTGGTTATCTAATTTACCCAGAGTGTGATTTCAAAAGTAATCCCAACAGAAAAATCTAATCAGAATTCATGTGGTCCCTGTCCATGTGTTATCATAATTGGGTAAGACTTTGTTTTAAGGAACACATATTGGAGATTTATTAAGGTTTTGTTCTTTGTCCAGTAAAGCCTGAATAAGGCACGTTACTTTAGCCCTGCAACATAACATGGACAGAACCGTGCTGTAAAGGTCATGTCAGATGTCATATGCTGTTGTCAAGACAGATTATGTCTAGTAATATAACAGTGCCCTGTTACTATTACTAGTAATTATCATGACATATGTCATGTTGTTTGACTTGAAGTAGAGTATACTTACCAAAAATAGTATAACACCAAACCAAATATGTCATTACAATTACCAGCACTGTTATATTAATTAACACAATTTATGAATACTCATGACAGCATAAGACATCTGGCATGCCATGTTTATAACATGTCTTTGTCAGTGTTATGGAGCAGGATTATGCATTAACTTTTATTCATTATAACCTGTATTAGTACAAAATCAAAGGTCTTTTTTACGTGCTGCATATTACAGTAAACACCAACTACCACCTAAATTCACATCTTATTACTGCAAAATTGGCAGCATTTGATTCCTGTATTGTTCTAGTTAGTGCCAAGTGACGTTTAAGTTTATTAGAGATAATTAGAGTTTAATAAGTCACTAATACTTTAAGATGTGTTAAATATTATTAGATGCAATTCAAGTCATCACTTAATAGAGGCTACAATGTGCTAAACTCGTCACAAATTCAGTAACTATTCATTGTATTCTGTAATCTGGTCATGAGTACTTCACTGAGATCTCAGTGTGTCAACCATACAAGAGTTCAGTTTATTGGTATTAAGTTGTTAAAATGAAAAAAGAGTAATACAAATCACTGCAGTAAGAAAGTCATGACAAAAATTCATACATTTGATGTCCTATCATCATGTGCTAAAAACAACACATTTATCATTTAGTCAGTCATCATTTAGTCACAGAGCCAACTTGTTATAATGCACACATTGATCATTATGCATTATTAAAACTGATAATGGAATTATTAGTGATTTGGTACCACTTTACAATAAGACTACTCTTATAAAAAAGATTGATTTTTTTAAATTGTTAATTAATTAGCTTGTTGCTTGCCAAATAGTGAGCCCACATTCGTCTACACGATCAAAGCTCAGATGTTGCTGGTTACTGTTCTTCTTCATCAGTCAGCATTAAGCAAGTTAATCAGATATTCATATTCATCAGATATAACAGGTGACTGATGCCTTTTTTCATGCATTTGTTACAGCTGCTTATTATTGGTGTTTAATGTGACCAAATTATTAATACACATTAATACACTTATTCTAAACCATTCCTAAATCTTTTATATCGTAGTCATTGTAAAGTTGGTGATTTTCACATAACTGCCCCCCAGTTATCTACTAATACAGATTACAATGATGATAATCTGTTCACTGTCGTTGAGGATCTAATCGATCCTTTCCATGATTGCTCAACTGAGTATTATTTGTTTGTTGATGTTCATTGGTTCCAAAATTCAGATATCATCTGAGGCCAGATGGGAATGTAATTATTCCAATATTAAATTTAATAATAAAAATGTATATATATATATATATATATATATATATATATATATATATATATATATATATATATATATATATAGTTTGGTTTATATTCAGTTGACTTTATGTGTCGATTCTGAAGTTGTAAAGAAGAAGGGACAGAGAATGACCTCATCACCATTCACCTCTGAATGTTACAATGGAAAGTTAGACTAGAACAATAATATAGTAATAATTAATAATATTTTAGGCTATATACTATTTAATGATCTATTTGACAAAATATATTATGAAATATAACAGTATTATGTTCTGAAAAATCTTAGCGGTGTTTTGAGTCAGACTTGACTACTACAAAGTCTCGGCCTTGACTCAGACTCAACTGCTATAAAGTCTTGATTTTTATTCAGACTCAATGACTATGAAGTCTAAGTATTAACTCAGAACTAACTACTGTGAAGTCTCAATCTTGACTCGGACTCAACAACTGCAAAGTCTTGGTCTTGGCTCAGACTCAACTTCTATAAGTGTCTGCCTTGATTTAGACTCAACTACTATAAAATCTCTGTCTTGATTTGTACTCGACTACTAGAAAGGCTAGATTTTGACTCTCACTCAACTACTACAAAGTCTCAACCTGACTCGGACTCAGCTACTACACTTGGTCTTGATTTGGAGTCTGTTTTGATTCAGACTTAACTACTATACAGTCTTTTTCTTGATTCGGGCTCAAATACTACAAAGCCTCGATTTTTGCTGACTTGACTACTATGAAGTCTCGGTTTTGACTTGGACTTGACTACTATAATGTTACCGTCATGGGTTGCACTGAACTACTGCAATGTCTTGATTCTGACTCTGACTTGACTACTATAAAGTCTTGGTCTTGACTCGGACTCAACTACTACAAAATCTTGATTTTGACTCTGACTTGACTGCTACAAAGTCTCAGCCTTGACTCCGACTCCACAACTGCAAAGTGTTAATTTTGACTCTGGCTCGACTACTACAAAGTCTCGGTCCTGACTCAGGCTTGACAACTACAAACTCTCGGTCTTGACTCTGCCTGGACCACTACAAGTTTCGATCCTGATTTGGACTTGACTGCTACATCGTCTTGCTCTTGACTCAGGCCCGACTACTACAAAGTCTGTTTTGACTCGGGCTCGAATGCTACAAAGTCTTGGTCTTGACTCAGAATTGACTACTGGGAAGTCTCTGTCTTGACTCAGGCTCAGGTACTACAAAGTCTTGATCTTGACTCCAATTCGATGTCTTGGTCTTGACTTGCCTCTAGTTTGACACATAGTGAATAAACCATTTAAAAGTGTCCTTCTGGTTGAACAAAGAACAAGAACCCCTAATATGTGTTCATTCAAATAAAGTCTTACCAATAATGAGTAATCACTGACCATTTTGTGCTAACAAGTTTGATTGCTGGCGAATGCTTATATGGAACATTTTCCCATAATCTCGTAGCCACAGTAGTGTGTTAGCTGCAACTAGCTTTCTCCCAGCTCCCCTCCTTGTGGATCCGCTGCTTCTTTTTTCCCGTGTAAAAATCAGCTTTTGCTTCTCTTTGCTTGTGAAGTATCCTTAATCTCCCCTCTAAAACTTTGTTTGCAACCCAGTATTGATATCTATGCCAATATTTATGCTAACCGCTTGGCTAGCTATGACACTTTGTTTGCTAGTTCTAGCTATGGAGTTTCTATCGAGATTTGCTAAACAGTTTTGGTCTGTCTGATCACCTGTCTTCCCAGAATTCTTGGCTTTTCTAACTTTTGTCTTGTCTTCAGTCATCTTGTTTAACTTTTTTTCTTGTTGTCAGCAGCAGTGTGTGAACTTATAACCCTATAATTTTTTTTTTCCATGTACGCCTGTGCAATAGAGTCTTAAGATATAACTCTGTACCAAACATTAAGAAAAAAAGAAATATAAGAAAGAAAACAAAGCCTGTTCCAAAACATAAGGAAATATAATCATATTTTCTATGCTGTCTTTCTTCTCTCCGTATTTTTTAAATCTTCAGAGTCCTTTGGTAAGTGCTTAGCCCTGAAGCACACATCACCCCCACTAATGTTTTCCATGTCTCTCAAACTATGATTAAAATGCATGGCATGCATTTTACTAACATTTAGCCTAGCCACCAGACACACCTAGCATAGCTCACTACAACATTCTAAGATGCTAATATGCTAACACTTTGTTTCACAAATACAAAAAAAAAAAATGTACGGGCACACCAGGATCACTCAGTTACCACTCAGAGGTTTCACAGACACTTTCACTGACTCGACTGACCACTTCTTCACTCCCTATTTCGCTCATGACCAAAAAAAAAAAAGCACCATAGCTGTTCCTCCCACAAACTGCCCAGAATCCTGTGCATTTAGCGGTCAAACTGTGAGCTTTGAGGTTTGTCCTTGCCCCACATCCAGACTCCTGAAGCCTTACCCAACCTGCTGTAAATGGTCACAATGTCAAATTTCAAAACGGCACCTTCCTTGTGGTTGACCACTGTACAAAGTTGCTCCTTCCAAACTGCTTCCAATGCTGAATCCTGTTTTTGCCAGTAGAGGAAGTCAAATTCTCTCTGTCTCTCTCTCTCTCTCTCTCTCTCTCTTTCTCTTTCTCTCTCTCTGTCTCTTTAATATCTCTTTTCCTCCAGTAACCTTAATTTTTGAACATACTCTGTTAAAGAAAAAAAAAAAAGCAAAGCTAATTTGATTCTTCTTCCAAAGCCCCCAGCCTCTTTCCTCTCGTACTAATGCTTCTTCTTTCTAATCTTATTTGCATTCATATTATCCACCCAGGTGGTACGCCAATAAGAGGTAAGAGAGCTGAACTGAAGTTCACAGAATGAAAAACAAAAATTCATTCTTGCTGTCCTTCCATCCCGTCCGCCTCCATGTATATGTCCTGTCTCTTGATCCGAGTCCATCCATCCTTCCTTCCTTCCTTCCTTCCTTCAATGACTTTGCCATCCTCCCTCGTTCTTTTCCCTCCATACGAACCCTCCCCCTCCATCATTTTTGCGTATCTGCTTCATTTAATTTTTGAGTTTGTAAAATTCGCCTCAATTTTTTAGTTGTAATTTTTTCTTGCGATATGCTTACTATGACCCCGAGAAGCATATCCAGTGCCGTTTTTTTATTTTGTAATTTTTTTTTGTTTATTTGTTTTTTCTTTGAATTATTATTTTTATAATTATTATTAATTTTTATCTGCCTTTTCCTTTCCTTTTCGTTCCTCTTTTTTGGCCATAGCGACTCATGTGTCCCTCTTTTTGTCCAACTAAAACAACCAAACATTTTTCCCCCCCTTAGCTGTTCTTGTGCCCGCCGATGACGGACTCACGCAGAAGACTCCTCGCCTCTACTCTGCCACAATTTTTTCCCCCTCCAAAAAAAAAAAAGAAAAACATCTTTCTTTTTAAATTCTCAATCCTTTTCTCTATTTGCTTTCCTCTACCTATACCCTTCTCTAAGCCCAAACAACCACTTTTTTGATAAAGTTTCTACGGTGCTTTTTCCCTTCTACCACCTATTTTTTCCTTCTTGCTTTTCTTGGGTTGAAGGCTGTTTTACTTTTTGACATTTTTTGTTTTTCCATCCTTCAGGGTTGGGGGAAAAACTAACGAAGGGTCTGGCAGAGGGAACTGAGGTGCCGTTTTGTCATTTTTGTCGAGCAACTCAGGAGGCGGAGGCGTGGTTTGATGTATATATATAAAAAAAGAAAAAAATGACATTTTTCCTTGGGTCATGTGACACCACACTGCTGATCCCATTGGTGGATTTTTATGGGTGTCATTTGTAGCTTTGAACAAGCTATGGCAGTGGTTGGTTGCTTTCTTGTCGGCGGAAGCCGTTTTGAATTTTGACCTTCTAATACAACTGCATTTTATTTTTCAGCTAAGGGTTGTCAAAAAAAGGTTGTAAGTTGTGCTGACATACGTTTCTTGTTCTTTGGAGAGACTTGCATGTCAAACGTTTTCTCACAGAGGGTGATGTAAATGGTCTAGATGCTAACGTCATTTTTCAAGCAGCAAATTTTTTTATTTTTCAATTTTTTTTTTAGTTTTTTGCTAATTGCTGCATTTTTTACTTCTACCATTCAAAGTCACGATCCATTTTATTGATTGTTATTCAATTTTAAAATTGACTATGCCAAATTTCATAACCCAAAATTTCTTTTCGATTGTCCTCCCTGGTTATGCTGCTTTCGTATACTGTAAACCTTTGTTTTCCTTTCGATCCATGCTGCCCTGAAGCAGTGTCATTCATCCCCATACTGAACAGTCCCGTCAGGTGTTGTATATTGCAGGGCTCTATTTCTGTCCCTCCAACTTTAAGCTATTTTTACAAAGTACTGATAATACTACCATGTATTTGAGTCATGTTAAAGCAGACTTAAAGTGCCTTTAGAAACCCTGCAACATGTAGACTGTATGTCCCCCCTTTTCCATCAATGTGATTTGTACAGTGTCTTGTAAGAAGATAATTAACAGTGCATTAATTTCAGTGTGCCCTTAAATGTCTACTGCAGTGTTGGCATGGGTGTTCTGTACGCACGGTGCTGAGCGGAACAAATACCAAATCCTCTGCCAAGACTGATGAGTTTTTACCATTCTAGTAAAAACAGTATGGTCTAAGAACGATGTGACCCATATTGTGAGCTGATATTATTATTATTGTGCATTTGCCATTGCTGTAAATCAAGAAATGTTCTTTTGAAATTGGCATAAATCAGACATTTTTATTAACGTTGGCATAAATGAAGAAAAAAAATCTAAACATTTTCACTTAAATTGATATAAATCAAAGGATTTTTGTTAACATTCATGGAAATGTTAACAATTTTTTTTTCTGTTCAATTGGCATAAATAAAAACATCCTGTCAAGAATCAAGAATTTTTCTGTTAAAGTGGCATAAATCAAATACATTTTCTATGACGATGGCATCATAAAGAATTGGTGTAAATCAAGAAGTTTAAAACTATGAGTAAAATCTATGGTGTAAGAACCATATGACACATATTTTGATCTGAAATTATTATTATTATTATTATTATTGTGCTTTTATTATTGCTGTAAATAAAAAAAAACCTGTTATATTGTCCTAAATCAAAGAAATCGTCAGTTAACATAAATCATAAATCAAGAAATAAATCACAGAGATTTCTGTTAAATTGACCAAAACCAAAGAAATTGGTTTTCTGATATTCTGTTAATATTAGCTCAAATCAAGAGGTTTCCTATGACCCATATTTTAAGCTAAAATTATTATTACTGTTTTCTGTTATTAATATTATTATTTCTAGCTGTATCTATCATCATTGCTTTTATTATGCACCATGCCTACAGAATAAAACATTGCATTAGAAATTACAGGGCGATTGCTCATTTTTGCAGCCGTCATCTGAGAAGGTTTGTGGGTTATTAAGAGTTTTTTCTTTTCTATTTTAAGTTAATTTCATTTATTTATCTTTTCATTTTTCAATCTGAATCTGAACTTTTCAAAGGGTTTCGTAGAAAAACAGAAAAAAATAGCAGTTAGCTGTTCACGACTTTAAATTCCTTTGGAATTCTCTGATTCAGTTTTGTTAGTTTGTTTGTTGGTTTCTTTGTTTTTTCTGCATACACCATCTCTAAAAGCAGCCATTATATTGTGTTATAGCCTTACAGAGGCCAAACAGGACAACAGAAAAAGCGTGAGCAAGACAAATATCGCCCCCTGTGGCAGAAACGGGAACTGTCAAACCGTTGACATAAGAAAATGAATTGTTTAGTATTGTGTTACAGTGTGTGATTTTTCACCTTAACGCGGGGATATGCCCCATATTCTTTCCTGCCATACAGGAGCGCTGCAGATCGAACAGAGTGAGGAGTCGGACCAGGGGAAGTACGAATGCGTTGCAACGAATAACGACGGCACCCGCTACTCAGCGCCGGCTAACCTATATGTACGAGGTAGGAAACCCCACTGGTAAAGCTCTGTTGCTAAGGTAGTTATAATAGAGGTAATGGATATTCTAATGCATTAACATGTCGTTGCTTTCATAACAAAACTTTGTAGCTTTGAAATGGTAACTATAGGTGAACAAAATAACTAATGTACGTTAATGTAACAAGATTTTGGACCATCACTGTTGCTCCATTCATCATGAAATGTTCCTGAAAAACAAAAACAACAGTTACGAAGTTCTGATACGACCGCAACGATGTGAATAAAAGTAGATACAATGACTTGTAAATAGAATTATTCAGTAGAAATGATTAGAGAACAACAAATGGATCGCAGAGTCCAGTAAATGGTGGCCACAAGGGACTTTAGTAAGTATGTTCTCTGTTGCATTCGACCCTCCTGCCTTGATTTGAACCTGTGCTTTCTGTTTATTGTTCTTTGGTTGATTTGTTTTTGTTTTTCTGTTAATTCTCCTTCTTTAATGACTGGATTGCCTGGTGTGATACTAATGAAGTTGACCCCTAAAGCTTGCAGGGGAGTTTATAGGTCTGGACCCCTTCTTTCCCTGCAGAACACAGAATCCATCTGACCGTTTCTCTTTTCTCTTCTTCTCTTTTTTTGGCAAACAATGGAGGGAAACTCTTTTATTTCAACTAAAACTTTTTTTTTAACTTAAAATTAATTTTAAAAATATGTGAAATACATAATAAAGTGGGTGTATGATTGAAGACCTATAAATCTAATTGAAGTGTAACATTAACCCTTTGATGTTTAGGTCTGAATTTTTGCTAGTAGTCTCTGCGGTGCTGCCTTCAGAATAAAAAATAAAATCATTTTGCTCCGATAAATGCACTTCCGTAAAATTGGCATCAGTTACATTTTCTATAAAACATAAGTCTAACAAATTTTCAATGAACATTGGCATAAATCAAAGACGTTCTGTTAATGTTGGCATAAATCATTTGTTGGCGTAAAGACGTTTCCTGTAAAATTGACTTAAGTTAAAAAATCTGTAAAATTGCTGTAAAGTAGTTTTCTGGAAGATTTGCATAAAACAAAGACAACCTCTGTGAAGGTTGGCATAAATTAAATCTACAAGATTTGCTTAAATCAAGAAAGTAATTCTGTACAGCTGTCATAAACCAAAGAAATCTTCTGTTAACACTGGCATTCATTAAATAAATTTTCATTTAACACTGGCATAAATCACACATTTTCTGTTAACATTGGTATAAATCAAACAAATGCTGTGTTAACACTGGCTCCAATCACGAATGTTTCAGTTAAAGCTGGCATGAATGACAGAAATTTTCTGTTAACATTGGCAAAGTCAAAGAAATTCTCAGTTTATTTTGGCATGAATCAAAAAATTCAGTTGACATTGCTGTAAAACAATATTTAAATAAGGATACTGGGCCTCGTTTACCAACAGTTTTTAAGACGTTTTTTCAGAAAACCCACTTACATAGTTTTCACCAAGATCCTGACATTCACCAGTGTTTTCTTATTTGGCATTTGTTCTTAAGTAAGAACAGAATCTACACACTCAAGAGCACAAAGCTGTGAACATTTCTGCAGTTCAAGAACATGTCATGAATCTGACGTAGACTTTTTTCTTAGGACTTTTCTCAAGACAAAATTTAAGAAAATCTTAGGAAGATATTGAGGAATGAGGCCCATTCATTTTAAGATGAATAAGCTGTTTAATAGCATATGCAGATAATGTCAAATGCTTCCAGGCAAGTAGCAAGTTATTTTACAAGATAATTGTAAATAACTGCAGATACTTGTAACTATAATTAAAACATAACCAAATATAAAAGAAAAAAGCAGTTTGATAATCTTTTGAATGACGATGCCAATCATTAATATGTAAACATTCTTGTTACGGGTATATGTGGTAAGTGAACCCATTTGCCATGTACTTTCATTGCGTAGTCTATAATTTGGACTTTGATTCTGCAGTATGATCTGGAGTCCCTGCATCAGGAATTTTAGCTCTGGTTGCAGCATTGTTGCATCATCTTTAAGAAACTTTAGCTGCAAAAGTTTAAGAATCAGCTTCTTGTTTGAAACTGCACATGTCAAAGGGTTAATGGAACACTATTTTAAAAACAATCCATAATGTTAATTACACCTATTTTTGTAAATGTATCTATGGTAGCAGTGATAATTTACTGTAATAATAGTGTGCTAGCTATAATACATCTTATATTTGCATATTAAGTCAGCAGACATAAACAGAGTATTCCTTTACTGTAAATGGATCCTCATGTAATATGTGTAATATGTAATAGAGAATAATGGTGTAACCTAATAAGATATTTAAAATATTTCATTTAATTAAGCCACTTGTGTAAATATTTAACATTTATGTTTATTATTTCTTATATTGACTATATTGAGTCCAATATATCTTTTGAATTATTAAGTTATTTTGTATATCAGTTAACTATGATAATGTCCCAGTTATGTGATTAATGCTGACAACCTGCTTTTCTTTGAATTTGTACTTTGGTAAATTTACTATATAAAATAATTAAAGGGCCCATATCATGAAACCATAAAATAAAACAATTCCTCCTGGCTTTTGAAAAATGAAATTAGGGCACATTTGTAAAAGTTTAAAAATGTCACATGCACTTTTCACTCCATACAGTCTATATATGAAAACTAAGCTTGTTTTGATGCTCTATTTTTATGATGTCACAAAACTATACATTTTATGTTTATCGGCCTATTCAGTCTGCAGCAGTTTAGCACCACCCACTATCTGAAGTTATAAGGAGTGTTTCAGCAAAGACTGCTTTTTGAATGAGGCACAGCCGATCAGAATACATCCTACGCAAAAGTTTGCGCACCCCTGGTCACACAACATGTTATATTTATTTCCATCTTCTATAGGGAACACACTTGTGCTCATTTTAATTACTGTTTATTATTACTGTTTACAAAACACGTCATTTGAGCAAAGGTGTTAAAATTTTTGCCTGGATGACGGAACAGTAACAAACACAGCCTGTTTAATTCTGAAGAGAGGTTGGAAAATGATCATGTAGAAATGAATTATATGTTTTTGGTGCATAAAGCCACAAAAATACCATAAATGGGCCTCAATGGACTTGAAAAATGTAGGATATGGGCCCTTTAGCTGTAAGCAGACCAGAATTGAGGATGAATGCACATAAATCTTGCAAAGTATGCACTCCAGTCAACTTCATAACTGAGACAGCATCATAAAGGTTACATAGCGTACCTCTTTTGTGTTCATATATAAAGTGTCTTTGAAGCTAGAGGTTTTTTCTCTTTGCACTGAAGTAGCAGTCAGGATTCTATCCCGATACCAAAGGGGCTTCCTCTAAAAGATGTTTATGAGTGGCAGTTGAACGCCTTGTACATGGCCTTTTTACTCTCTCTGTGTTTCCCCTGTTTTTTCTCCTTTCGTCATTTCATTGTGTTCTGCATCAAAATTCCCTACATTCCCCAGAGCTGCGAGAAGGTTGGTGTGTTTTTTACTTTCTAACCATCTCACTTTATCGAAACAAACAGCAAAAAAATAAAAAAACAGGGAAAAACATAAGTAGTTTCCATGAATTGCAAACCCAAATGCCAACACAGCTGTCAAGAATACAAATGAAATGAATGTAGCTGCACATATGTGTTCTTGTTTTGTTTGTTATTTCTGACGTTTCTCAGTTTGGCTCCCTTTATGTTTCCTTTCTGCTCTGGATAGAGTCCATTCTGTTTCGTTTTCTGATCCCCTATTGTTGTTGTTCGTTATACTGAATGCCCATGGTCTTGGCTATGATGCTTGACCGTCCAAAAAGTGGTGCATGTCAAGAGAGAATGCATATAATTTGTCCAATCGGATTCTGCATGACGACCAGGTCCAGCTACTGACCGGTTTCCCTGTACAATCCTTGATGTTAATGTCAGTGTTCCTGCTTAGTACTTAATTTTGACACCCACACAATCTTATAATCAAAGATCCCTTGAAGAATAAAGAGATTTTCTTCACCTCCGAAATGGTCACTGAGCCAAGAAAACCTCAACAGCCTCTGGGTTGAAATTGCTAGCACAATAAGCATCTCCTTGAGTTATTTTCCATGTCATACAGTTCAAGGCCTGTTTTATAATAAGAATCAAAGGGCAGTGAAACTCACTCTGGACAGCGGCTCTCACTTAGTGCGGTGGATTTCACTCAGAGCGACGGATCTCACTCACTGAGCCAGGTCTTGCTCATTGCGAGGATCTCGCTCACCGCGGCGGTTTTTGCTCAGGGTAGCGAAGCTCACAAAAAACAGAATCAGACATTTTGATGTACATACAATTTGATGTATTATGATGTGTCAAAATGTGCCACAGCATTGCAGCTGGACCTCGGTGAATGGCCAAAACAAATTCAGAAAACATGGTGCTGTTAAAAGTATTAAACTAGTAATGGTACTGTTAATTAGGGGTGGGCAGTTTGATGATATTTTAGCATTATTGTGATACTTTATGTCACAATATGCTTTTCTGAGCATACTGTGGTTATCGTCAGTACGTAAAGAATACTAACTAACTACGTTACAAAGAGAGCAAAATTAGACCAGTTTAATTGGATTTAGTGCAGCGCAGTTTGTAAAACATTTATATGTTATTGTAGTTATTGTAGTATTTTTAGGTTGTCTGCTCCAACTTATTACAACTCAGAAAAACAAAACATAATATAGTATACCATGTATCGTGAAAATGTCTTACATCGTGATATAAGATTTTTGCCATATTACCTCCCTTACCATTAACTGTAGTAAACTGATAATGGTACTATTAACAGTATTAAAATTATAATGGTAACTTCTTAAATAAATTAAATAGTGTTAAATATGCGATTCTGATTATCTTGCGGCATATTGGAATTTTGATATGCCGTCCAATAAACTAATCAGTGTGACAAAAGATTGGCGGGCATGAGGCATCAAAATGTTCACAATAGTAAAAATCTTTTGAGAGGGCTCATTTGCTTATTGCAGTCTTTGTGAATCAGAATTGCTCTTGCCATTATCACAATAACCTTTAATAAATGATATATTAAACATCTGCAATGGTGAATATTTAGCAAATGGGAAGCTATATAAGACACCTTCAGCACTCCCTCTCTCTCAGGATACAGCTTAAGGCTGCAACCTCCTTTGTTTTAATGAGAACCGAAGGGTGGCAAATCTCACTCAAGGTGGCGAATATCGCTCAGGGTGGCGAACCTCGCTCAAGGGGGTGAATCTCACGCAAGGCGACATGCCCCCGTAGCTCAATATCCCCTGCTCTCGCTGCGTGAAGGAGGCTTAGCAGACCGCTAATGAAAGAATGATGTATGTCGAGCATCCTTCGCAAGACTTGACAAATGTAATGATATTCAAATGAACGGGATAACATTATGTCTTCTGGGAGCACGATTCAATAGAAAATTAATTAAATATAATAGGAGTGAAAAGTTGTATTTAATAATGTAAGATTTCCTCTCCAGAGGAGCGCAGTGTCTTAAGCCGAATGAGCTTCATCAATTGTGGAGGTTTTTATCTCTCTCTCTTTCTCTGTCTTATTGTCTCTCTCTCTCTCTCTCGAGTTCACAGTCATTCTCAAAACATGAAATCGGGCCACGGAGATGTCAGGACCAAAGCCCTCTGTGTTAATGAGGAACTACTATACAGACACAATATTAGTCAAGGTTCATCCTGCAAAGCGGAATCGAAGAGTTCAGCCCATGTAATTTTAATTAAAAGCGATCTCGGGATGGGAGAGTTTCACTGCTCGTTAATATTAGGGAGGCTTAACCCTCGAAACGCTGTGGCCATTAATCTCTCTCTCTCCCCTCTCCACAAACAAACCTAGCCTACTCCCACCAACACGGCTTTAGAAAAGCAGAAAGAGAGAGATCAAACCAACTAGGAATGTTTGTTTTGAAGAATCTTGGCAGCAAAAACTTGAAAGCTTATTTAAATGATTTAAGCGCCATAAAACCCAATTTGTTGCTTACTTGTGGATTATGGGAAGTGTTTGATTTGTCTCCTCGAAGGTGTCCTCACTTCACTTGAACAACTCGTTCTAAAAAAGTAGAACAGAAATTTAGTCCAAATGAATTATGCTGGCAATGTCCCCTATTTCATTATTGAGTGATTTTAATGGTCAGATCCCAACTGGATAAAAAAAGACTGCAAAACACTACAGGACACCCCCGAGTGAGTCCTCAATGAATTGTGGGAGAAAAAGCTAAACAGGAAAATACAAAAGAAGAGAAGTTTTGAATGCCCATGCTTAAAATGTGGCAAGCGGTAGCACATAAACAAAATGTGCTACATCAACACAGTTCTTGCCAAAACAAGCTAATTTTAATGAAGCAATTGTGTTGATGTAATATATTTTATTTGTGTGCAACCACTTGTATACATATTTTGATCATGCTCCTGTTCTTTTCTTTCTGCTTAAATATATGCTATAGCAACTTGTATGAATATGCAGATACATAAATAAATAAAAGTTGAAAGGTTTAAAAGTATTTAAACCTTAAATTGCAACTTGATGATTAATCATAGTATCGGCACATCTCTTGTAATAAGCAGTAACACTGACAACATCCCTTTGATTTTGATCCCTGAATCTACTGGATGGCTGGATGAACACTTGTGCTCCTTTTTACTGCCTGAGCTGCATCCCTTCAGCATCGTTCCGTCTGCTGTGTCCACTCTTGTGCCCTGAAAGAGAACTGTGCCTGTATCTGATTGCCATTTGGCTTTGTATATCTTTTTTCCTCTTCCTTTCTATCTCTCTCTCTCTTTCTCTACCACGTCTGCTTAGTTTTTAATAGATCATCCTGTTGATTTCCTGTAATGTAATGCTAGTCGCCCACTCCTCTACTGACCCTGTTTGTTGCTATTTATTTGCCCTCTCCCCACCCCCTTCATTTTCCCAAACATGGTTGCCCCTCAGAGCCAGCTATGCCCTCGTTTGCATGTCAGAAAATCCAGCATAAAACCCTCCCCCACTCTTTTGTTTTCCCACTGGGTGCCTTCCATCCTCCATTTGCATTGAGAATGTTTACATGTTGCCTTGTTTACCTGTTTACACGCACCTTTTTCGGTCAGCTAATTGTCATTGTTTTCGAATCCATCTCTCTCTACATACACCTACTAATTTCTTTTGAGACTTGTATCCACTTTTTGACCGCGGCTACCGTGCAAAAGTCACAATTTGCACTTTTTCTTGAAACCCGGTCTGACCCGGCGCCCTCTGGTGGTCGCCCTGTGTATGTTTGATGTGGCAATGTGAGGCGGCACATTCCTTCACATCAACTGGAAGAACGCAGCATTGAGGTTGTCAAAGCCAAGCACGCAACTCCAGCATGCTGCCGCACCTCCAGTTTACGTCCCTGTGTTGTACTTTTACGTCTGGAGCGGACGCTACACTCTGTGCATGACCTACTGTATGTGACGATGTTCGTCCGTAGCTTCTCCACTGTTGAACCCTATTAGAACTGGACCGACTTTGTGTTTATGTACGTGTTTATGTGCAAACGTGTGCTCCTCTCTGACCTTGCCATCAGACCATCTAGAGCTATACACGAATGGATTGTTGGAAAAAAAAAATAGTAATAGCACTGTATCAACACAGCTACAACATTGTTATGACTTTATATACAGTTGTAGTTGTAAAGATTAGCATTGGAATTGACTTTTGGCCCCGACCACAAATCTTTCTATAACTACTCTTGCTATGTTGGACAAGCTTTGCAGTAAAAATCCCATTCAAAGTAATGAGAAGGTGTAGCACACAAATTGACAAAATACATCAATTTAGGGTACATTATTATTTTTTTATTTTTGCTCAGATAGATCAGGTGTTGTTTTTTTGTTGTGTAGTCAGTTTTTACTATTAAACGTCTTATTAACTGTCTGAGCAGAACTTCAGCCTGTTTTACCATCACTAGCTAATTAAAACTACCATTTAAACTTACATCTCTAGCCACTAGCCACACTGTAGTAAGCATGGGGGATGTTACTTTAAGATATTTATTGACAATATTTACCAAATACCATCCATCAAATTCATCCAGTACTTCCAGTACATAACAGCAAAAACCACTGTTTTCTATCTAGTAGAATAGAGCAGGTGCAGGCTGAAGGTTTTATGTCTACACCCTTGGCTGTGGCTGATGGTGTACCTCAAGAATCAATTTTGGGGCCTCTTTCTTTTTCCTATATCTATTAATTGTCTTTGCCACAATGTGCCAAATGTAGAGTTTCATTTTTATGCTGATGATGCTGTTATTCACTGTTCAGCACCTACTCAACATCAAGCTTTGTGTAATTTACAAGATGCTGTTAATATTATAAAACACAGATTTTATAGTGAAAAATGAAACTAAAATGTTTAAAAATTCAAAGATATCTTTGAAATTGTCACCAACATACAGTTAAAATATTTCTTCATACAAATATCTTGGTATAGTATTAGATAAGTCTTTGATATTTAAGCCTCATATTTTGCATTTGTTTGACTGAAATTGAAAAGTTGAAATTGGGTTTTTAGTTTTGGGTTAGTTTAGGATTGTTTATCTTTTCAAGCTATTTACCCACAATTGATTATGGGAATATCACTTACATGTATACACTTTTGTATTGCTTGAGTTTATTAGACATTGGATTATGCTGCTCTAAGATTTATCACTACAGATATCACTGTAAGGTCTTTACCCACCACTCTGTTCTTTATGAAAGAGTGGATTTTCCCTCACTGGCTACACATACTTTAATGTTTAAATCCATACCTGATTTATTACTTTCTTACTCAGAAAGGAAATGGGAATTATGGTCTACACTGCCAAAATGTGTATGTATTGTAGATTCCTACTATATGTACTAATTGGGAAAACAAGCTTTTACATATGCTGCACCATCTGATATGAGTTTGCTATAGAAAGACTTAAAACTATATGAATGAATTAAGCTATATCAATAAAAAGGTGAAGAATTGAAGGACTCTCTCTGGATAGTCTTGTGTAGTGCATAAGTCCCCAAACTGCATTTTTTCACTATATTGCATAGGCTAAACATATCTAAATGTAGCTTGACAATATGACAATAAAAAAGCTACACTCAGTCAATCTTAACTGTGTTGACCACATGTGGACAAAATAAACATACTGAAATGAATATACATTATTACAGATGTATTAGTTGTGTGCTACAATGTCTTGGTTTTATGGGTTTAATGGTATTTTTTGTCAATAATCTGTAAAGCTTGTCCAACCTGGCAACAGCTGCTATGGAAGACCACATTTGTAGGCGGAGCATGGGTAGCTTAACATTCCTTTTTTCCACTGATAGAGGTTAAATTGGCATACGAGTTGTTACCATTCCTTTTGTACTCTTTCAGTTCGTCGGGTTCCCCCACGCTTCTCCATCCCACCCACGGATAGCGAGATAATGCCAGGGGGCAGCGTAAACATCACCTGCGTGGCTGTGGGGTCACCCATGCCCTACGTAAAGTGGATGCTGGGGTCGGAGGACCTGACCCCGGAGGACGACATGCCAATCGGCCGAAACGTGCTGGAGCTGACTGATGTCCGCCAGTCAGCCAACTACACGTGTGTTGCCATGTCGACACTGGGTGTCATCGAAGCGGTGGCACAGATTACGGTCAAAGGTGAGCAGTGAATTTCATAAATATCTGCACTGCACACTTTTATTTAAAGCTTTAGCTTAATCTTAAGGCTTATTACTCGGTAACTACAAAGAAAGCTATGTAATAAAGTTAGCATTAAGTTATGGGTTCATATTTATGAGATTTGGATGGATAAACATTGCTATTTTGCTTCCTTAAACCCCTTAAAGCTTCTTTATGTTTCCAAATCTGAAGGATTATTACAGTGAAGAATAACATTACTGGGTCCACTAGCCATGTTCCAACACCAAATAAACACCTAGCTTACCTGTTGAGTCTTACAAGTCTAGAGTTATGACTGTTGTTTTGCTATACATTTGATTTATTAACGTAATTACTTATATGTAACTACAGTGACACACAAAAAATTTTATTTACATTAATTTAGACAAATTCAAGTCTGCATTTCTGACTTCTATACAGTATCTTAAATTCATGCATTTGGCAGATGCTCATATCCAGAGCAACTTACAACTTAATCATATTACAAATAGGGTCTGCAAGACTATTTGTTTTCTTCCTCAGTGTTCTGAATGTCAAAAACTATTTTGTTGTTGGCTTGCTAATAGTTGTAATAGATGTAAACTGCATGCTAAATTCACTACAGCTCTTAAAATCCCACCTCTCAGCAAGAATTTCAACTGACTCTGGCTATCATTGCTTCCACAAACTGGTTTTCTTAAGTTAAATGCCTGTGATAAGCAGCTGCATCTCTATACATAAGCACTTCAGAGTGAGATATAGTCACTAAGGCAGAAAACATTTACGCTAATCAGTCCTGAATTTAGTTTGAAACCAAAAGTAGTAAGTTTGCTGAGTGCTACTCCACTTTATCTCCTTTAGATGTTTTTGTTTGTGATTGGTCGATTTGCATGTCAGTCAGACAGCCCATTTCCTATTGGGGCGTGGTTCTCTAAACCTACCAGTCTGGATCATGAGCCTGTATTTTAGCGCAGTTTTACTCCAGGACCAGTATAGCGAACTGTTCCTCCTATGGCAGAATGCTTTTTTTTTTTAAAGACAAAACTGTTTAAACCCGTATTCTATGAAGAGACAAGCCAGAAGTTTTGCGTTTCAGTCTGGATCAGCTGAGTTGGGTTGTTTAGTCTATGCTGAAGGCTTTGAAGATTCTCACAGATGTAATAATTTAGTGCATTAACATCTACTCTACACTCAAAAAGATGGTTCTTCAAGGGTTCATTAGTGAAGACAATGGTTCTATATATTCAAAGAACCATTAATGAAGAATGTTTTGTATGTGGTTCTATATAGCACCATGGGTTCTGCTGTTGTTGTCATGTCAAGCTTGCAACAATAGAAGAACCCTTTTTGGTGCTATATAGAACAGTTTTCGAAAAAGAACACATATACAATACATTCCCCATCAATCTGAAGAACCATTTTGCCATGCAAAGTGTTCTTTGATTGGTTCTATACAGAACCAAAGAAACAGCAAAAAGAACAGTCAATCGTCAGTGCTCTTGCCAAAATCTCTGTTAAACTAAGTAAATGTCTACATTCACATGTCAAAATATCAAAGCTAAGATATAAATGGTCCATAAACATTTTCATGTCCGCTGTGGCAGTATTTCACCTTAGGATGCCTGATGGTTTTAAATTTTTGCTGGTGTTGTTTTTCCTCAACTTTTAATTTGAACGTTCATAAATGAACAAACACATGCTATATATGGCAGGATGTTTTACTGTTGTTTGGGCTTCTGTTAAGTGTTATGCACTGTGCAGCATCTCGAGAGCTGTAAATGACTGAAGAACTATGCTAAGTAGCCTTTTTGACAGCAGTCACTCAATTCTAAGGTAAATCAATTTTAATAAAAGGGCATCAGGGTAAACTATGTGTAATACAAATAACTTTGTCTAATTGCTACCATAACTGCAAATTAACAGTGGGCTATCTGCTGTATTTATACATCTGCAGGGTCTAATAGCTTTGCAGTCCTATTTTGTTTTGTTTTTTTTTATTTCTGTTAGATCGTCATATAGCCTATATAAAATGAACAGTATTAACGATTTTTTTTGGTTTAGGAATGTTATGTTGAGGTAGACTGCAAGAATAGAAACATTAAACTATTGGTTCTGCTAGGATCGAATTGATGAGTTTGTTTTATTTCTAAGCCTTGTTTTATTTTTAAGTCCTGCTGTAGACCAAATAAAACACACCACAAGGTTTCTATTACATTCAAATCTGCACTTTCCATACAATTTCTCTGTTTCAATGAGCTATAAGTCAAAACTATGTAATCAACTGGGACTTCTAAGGGTTAAACATATTTGTGTTCATTCAGCCAGACACAACAAAGTGGAATTAGTCACAGTCTGCCCTTCGGCTAGCAGTTGCATTCACATTAACGCACATTTAGTCATGGCCTCCAGAGCAGCCGCATCACTATCATATCAGTCTCCTTAGAAAACGCTGCCAGAATGAACCCACTCATGTCAAACTACATTTACTACATTTAATATTTTTGATGAGGAACACCACTGAACTTGTTCTGATTGGTGTAAAGTGATGAAATTCTGTATAAATGTATCTTGAAAAAGCATCTAACAGTAACTGAATGAATTTTGGTGGTCCCTATGTATTAATAATGTCCTGTATTAATTATAACGCATTACATATATGGCATGCACAACACAATAGAACTTCTGGCATAAGCCAGAATTCCTTCTAAGTAAAAAAAAACAAAAAAAACAATGCATGCGCAATACATTATAAAGCAAAAGCGTATGATACTAATATTGTAATAAACTATAACAAATTCTGGTACAAAACATATTTTACCATAGACCTTTTCTCATGTAATGCCATTGCTCAGTGTTTAAATCATAAGAAACAAGGCTAAAATGAGGTTTACCTATAGGAAAGACCTCACTTCACTTAAAGCCTGTAAAGAATATGTCTAGTGCTCCTTAAGGTGCTGTGTGGTGAAATGAATGAAACTCAGTTTCCTTAACTTTTGAAAGCAGATCAAAAAACTGATGAAAGTTGGTAAAGACTTGACCTAATGTTATGTTACCTGTTAAATATAGTTATTGTGCATTACACTACTACTGTCTACAGTGCTAGAATGGGCATATGTTACATTGCATTTCAAACCTGAATTTATAAAGTTACGTGATCTTGCTTTATAAATTGTTATGCATGTAGTTATAACTATTTAGTAGCAAATTATACGTTTATGCCACACATTATAAGACAGTATGAATACTGTCTCTGTATGTATTATGCATACATACAATGAAATAATGAATTGATTAGTTCGGAAATTGAAAAAAGTAACCCCAAGTGTCCACAACACTGAAATTATCAGTTGATAAAAACTTTTTTTAGGCCATTTTGTTTAATCTTCGGATTTGTGCTATAAGTTATTTACACTTTATTTTCAGAGTTTCAAATTTAAAGACAAGTGAACCAATAGAAACAATTCAGAATTATGTGAAATGAAATTGTGTTACATTAACATATTGATATTAGGTATGTATTTTTGCATCTGTAATTTCTAATTTCAAAATTTCTCCTTATATGTCAGCATCAACAATATCTATCTATCTGTCTGATAGGACTGTGATAATGTGTATTGTATAATCTTCACATTTGTTTGAGAAGTCTGGAGAACATAATTAGTAAATTACACTTTATTTTGATAGTTCCCTATAGAATATCTACAGATGCTCAAATTACTAACAAACTATCTGTTGATTATCAACAATATTAGGGTCAGGTTTAGGATTAGGTTTAGGTCTTGGGTTGAAATTAAGGTTAGAGATAGATTAAACTTAGAATTTGAATGAATAAATAGTATTACATTCAACTTAAAGTTGCATTTGATGAATATTTAGATGTTAAAGACAAAGTGAGCTACACAGCAGTGGACAACCAGGATATCAGATATGGAAATGAATGGGTTAAAGATAGAACTTACAACAAGTCCCTTTTCATTTCTAAAACAAAAAGGGCTACAAAAAGGAGAGACCTTGTCGTCCTCCCCCTCTTTATCAATGTGGCTCTGCCGAGGCTTTTAGGCCTTTCGCTGTATTACATTAGACGCTAACAGTGTTCCAGTGCACTGCTTCTGTTCGGCTGTGGCGAAGCAAGCTGACACGATAACCTTCAGCTAGCGTCCCTCAGGGGAACAAATACATGCTTCATGAATGCTAATAACTGTGTCACTCTGCAGCCCTCTTCTGCCTACTGATACACCACCGTTACACGATCTGCCATAGGCTGTCCAATATTCTCTTCAAACGTGATTATACACGCTTATTAATTTAAGCAAATCAGCTTTGAGTCTAGAACTGAAGATTTGTCTCTTGGTTTTCTCACGTGTGGACATCAGAAATAGCTTTGTCAGAAAGAGTTGTTAATTAACTCTTAATTGCTTATTTACTAATTCATGTTTTATAATTCATTTATTAATCAATGAATTACTCAAAAGCAGCTAATTAAAGTAGATTTGTCTTGGTTTTTTTCCTTAACTTCATGCTAACTTAATTAACTTCATTTCCTTACTCCCATAACCACATCCTTTAATTTCATAGTAGTTACCAAATAATGTATAGTATTTCTTAAATTATAATACATGTTTATTAACTTCTTAAACTCTCTGAGCTGGCCCCACGCTTAATTTCCTCACTCATAAACTGACAAATTGTCATTGTCACTGTTTATTTTTATATCAATAACATTATCCATCCATCCATCCATCCATCCATCCAATAGGGCTGGGATGAAAATCCAAAAATTGGGACAGACATTAATAAATATAGATATTTTCATTATTTAAAACCACATGTGTATTACAGTTCCCTGTTCAGCATATTTAGGACAGATTCCATTTATGCCAGAGGCAGCGACAAAGCATTTGTCAGTATAAATACTTGATGGATCTATTTTGCATGTTTGTTTGTTTAGTAACAAAAGCCTATTTTTTTAACCTGTGAAAACCATCTTGGAGTGCAGAGTGCTCATAAATTATGATTACTTCTTATATTACTTATTACCAATAAATCAATTAGTGGTTCAAGCTCTATGATCTGATAATGTCACCATTTTTGAGATAGTAGAAATTATTTCAACAGGAACTACATCAGTTTCTCAGTTTCTATATCGGTCTGCAGTTTCATTGGTCAACTCATAGAAACATTTTATTTTGTTTCTTTCTAGCTCTACCGAAACCACCAGGAATTCCTGTGGTAACAGAACGCACGGCAACAAGCATCACCCTCACATGGGATTCTGGGAATCCGGAGCCAGTTTCATATTACATCATTCAGCACAAGTCAAAATACTCCGAAGACTCTTATAAAGAAATTGATGGTGTAGCTACTACACGCTACAGTGTCGGTGGCTTGAGTCCATACTCCGATTATGAATTCCGTGTGGTTGCAGTGAACAATATTGGCCGCGGGCCTGCTAGCGAAGCTATTGAAGCTAAAACGGCTGAACAGGCTCCTAGTACTGCCCCTCGACAGGTCAGAGGTCGGATGCTAAGTGCTACGACAGCTATCATCCACTGGGAAGAACCTGAAGAAGCTAATGGACAGATAATGGGCTACAGGGTCTATTACACAATGGATCCCAACCAGCACGTCAACCAGTGGGAAAAACAGATTGTTCGGAATGCTAACTTCCTCACCATCCAGGGACTGACCCCTAATAAAACATACTACATCAAAGTTTTGGCCTATACGTCTGTAGGAGATGGACCTCTGTCAGCAGACCTGCAGATTATAGCCAAGACTGGAGGTAAGAATAAAGCACTGCATTATATTTATTTTATTTAAACGTCTATGTTCATGTTTCCACATGAATAAACCACATTACAAACTACATTACATGAATACAAAATATAATTATGTTACATCCATGAGTTGAAGCCGTACCATGTAGGTATTTTGTTAAAACATGAAGCCAGGAGAAAAAAAGTCTGTGCACTGCTGTGAGTCTCCCTGTAAAGCCTGAAAGAATAATTTAAAACGTAGCGGTGTCGGATTGGACTTCGCTGGATAATTCACTTACATTCTGAGTAAGGCAGACTGAGTTCTCTTTGAATGCTCTTTCATCGCGCTATCAATCATCAGATTCATCCGCTTGTGGAAGGGGTCTGAAGCACAGCCCATGTTATAAAATGTTCTTCCTTTAGGGCTGCAGCGATTATGTGAAATCAGTGGTTTTGGAAAAAGGGTGATACATCATATACTATACAAGCGTGCTCTATAACACGGTTGTCAAACTCAACAATTATGTTTACAGTGCATGCTGGGATCTGTAGTGCAGCTCATGGTGAAATGGGCTAATGTTAATAGAAAAAAAAGATAATTTAGCTGGCCTAATAGGATTGTGCCACGGCCCTGACTCGGCCTGCGGGCCTTGTGTTTGACAGATGGGCTCTATAATGTTTGTATGATACACACAGTCATTCTGACAGATTGTAATACACTACAGGAAGTGTAGGGGGCGATATGACTTCTATCGTTTCATTTTAAAAATGCTCTATAATGCTCTATAATGGTAATATGATCAGCCAAAGATTATATATGTATATAAGGTAAACCAAGAAGTGAATGTCTGTTCAGGTCAGTGGAGTGCAAAGGGGTACGGGTCCTGTCTGAGTGATCATATGATCCACGTTGTCATTCTGACAGATTGTAATACACTATATTATGTTTAATAATATGTTTTCACAATATTTAATGTAAGATATTTATTAAAGTGGAAATAATATACGCATTTGAATCCAGTAAATGCATTACTATTTTCACTGTGTTTGGCTTAGTTTGCATTCAGTGAGTTGTTGGATTCTGATTTTTCTGTCTTTTTTACTTTTTTTAAGCGAGGTTCTAACACTGACACATGAAAATCCATGGACCCTTATAACAGAGCAATCAGGCGAATGTCCAAAGGACTGTAGTGGCATTTTAAGTGTGGTTGTACATATTCTCTCTCACTCTCTCTCCCCCTCTCTCTCCCGCTCTCTCACTCTTTCTCCCTGTCTCTCATAATGACTCTCTCCGTCTTCGACAACAGCAGTGTAAACAACCATAATCTAGCAGAGCTCCCCAGTGTCAAATTATTTTAGCTCCCAGAACTGCTTTACAACAAGTAATACTATCAAATGTTTCAGACTAAATGAAAACACACTCTTGGCTGGGAAGCAGGAACATTACTTACTCTTTGAAAATAATTCAGGAACTCTTTCTCTTAACTCTGTATTCCGGTCAATATTATTCCCATTCCATCACTAAAGCCTCAAGTTTAAATGTGCCAAAACAGAACTATGCATTACTGAGGAAGGACTGTAGCCTGTGCGCTACATTAGCAATGTGGCTAAAATAAAAAAAATCATTCTATGCATTTTGCAGTCCCATCCCAACCAACGGACTTTAAAGCTGAAGCCAAATCTGAGACCAGCATCTTGCTGTCGTGGGTCGCTCCTCCGCAGAGTGGGCCGGACAATCAAATCACCGGATATGAACTGCTTTACAAGAGGAAAGATGAGAAGGAGGAGGTGAGCTTGTAAATAAGTTTTAAATAAATAAGTTTTTTTTCTGTCTGTATCATGAAATTATAAGTCCATTACTTTCAAGGTGCCAAGCTAACCTTGACCATGGTCAAGAAAATGTATTAAAAGTGACATTTTTATTGACATATATCGTTAGTAAAAACTAAAGACTGTTAATGTTGCAACAATTACTCAATGAAGTCAGTTAGTGGTTACGTAAAAAATTTCATATGTATGTATCACATACTTAACAACAAAAGCCCTCTAGAATGCTCCATGACAGACTGTAATACATTACAGGAAGTGTAGGGGGCGATTGGGCTTCTATTGTTTCATGTAAAAAGTGCTCTGTAATGTTATGTTAATATGATCCACACAGTCACTCTGACGGATTGTTATACACTACAGGAAGTGCAGGGGGCTTTTATTGTTTTGCTGCAACGTAAAATGAGAATTCACTGAACTGTGATTGATGGCGGCAGCAAAGAGAGAATATCCGAACAGATATTTTATCATATCATGCTTTTACAGTGTCATAATATATTATGGTGACCGTAGTCTATAAAACATGTTAGCAATGCTAGAAATGAGTGCCAGTAATTAGTTTTGTATCCTTCTCGTTTTTTTTCCCTTTTTCCATTGCGAGTGTGAATAACATAGAAAAGATGTAGAAAAATTCCTGCATTCCTAGTGCTAGTGGTACATGAGTGAAAGTAGAGCTACCCTTGAGTAAAAGTAGAATTTCTCTAATCGTATTTCAATGAGTCAAAGTACAAAAGGACATGCTTTTAAATGTACTTAAAGTACTAAGGGATGTTATATTGTATATTATTAAAGCTGCAGCTGTATGATTATGTGCACAAAAAGATTAGCCATTCAAAAAGTGCATCAAATTCGTTTGAACATTTTAAACAATACAGTAATCTCACACTTCAGAGTAACTGATATTGGCACATGCTGTGGAATGAGAAGTAAATGTAGTAAAAGAAATCTAAGTAAAACATGTCCAAAAATGGAGATACCTGAAAGTACTTAAACACAGTAAACAATTATATGTACTTTGTTACTGTCCACAACTGCCTAGAAGTGGTGGGCGATATAGCAAAAATATAAAAATATGATATTTCAAGAAATTTTCACAATACATGATATATCATGATGTTTTATTTTTCTGATGTTTGATAAGCTGTAACAGAAAAAACAAGCAGTGCAGCATTTAAACAAGATTAGGCAAGTCTAGTTTTGCTGGACCACCATCGGCTGTCTATAGACAGGTTTAGCTAGCTCTCTCGCTAGGTCTATATAAGCAGACTCTAGGACTGTTACTAGCATGATACCAGACCATTTGTACATTCACACTCACTCAAATGTCCGCAGTTACCCAGAAAAATCTGTAAAGTCAGGAAAAAATGCTATTGTAGTTTAAAAATAGTAGTGGTAGCATTACAGCTTTTTAGCCGGCTGATGTTAACTTGATAAATTCTTCACAAAGTAAAAAATCACACAAATGGCTACAATTACCCAAAGTCATGTGTAGAGTCAATCAAAATGTACATTTTCATTTGAGAGGGTAAAAGTAAGTGCAAAAACAGCTAATTTTCTAGCTGGTGGCATACATGCTTCTAGCACTAGCATTATAAATTAGAATCTAGTTGATATTAACATGGTGAACTCTTTACAAGGTGGTAATTCACACAAAAACTTGCAGTTACTCAGAATCAAACAGAGTTTCAAATACAGTGACTCAGAGTCAAGCAAATTTGTTATCCTGAGCAAAAAAACACTCGTTCTCTCATTGCTTTATATAATTAGGTGATTAGCGCAACCTGCTGTTTGTTTCATGTGATGCTTGCACATTCGCTTTTCAGCAATAGGTGGCAGTTAATCAGTCAGTGACTCATTAAGAGACAGCAAACTCATAGGCTAGGTGCTGTATGGTTTAGCAAAATTACTATAAAAACTATGAACACAATATCCACAGTATAAGTTGTCACATAATAAAACAATAACAATAAATATGATCATATTGAGCACCACTGCTGCCTTGCACAGTTACCGTAGTGAAATATCCCTCCTTTGCTCCTGCAGAAACGTGTTAGTTTTGAGTCCACCACCACCTACCTTCTGAAAGACCTGAGGCCCTTCACCACCTACACCTTCCAGCTGGCTGCCCGCAGCAGACACGGAATTGGCGCTTACACCAACGAAATCTCAGCCGAAACGCCGCAGACACGTAGGTCCCTTTCCAACTCCCCTATCATCCCGCCCCACAGCCTCAGGGCCGAGGGCAACTGCACAACCAAAATAACTAGAATCCCTCCATTTTCTCAGAGCGTTCTTCGGTCTAAGACTTGATATCTCCCAAACATGAAAACATGAAAAATCTTTAAAGAAAGAAACTTGAGAAAATGGAACGGTTCAAAAGATCTCTGGCCCAAATTCAGTGCTCTGAAGCTTAAACTGACCCACGTGCCCTGTTTGGAAAGGGAAAAAAGTTGCATGGGCATTGTTCACTGAAGCTGGTCAGTGAAGTCAATCGACAAGGTCACCTTGCTCAATACAACCCCACTTCAATGCGGCAAAAGGCGAAATTTCAGTGTACAGTGCTGAATTATTTATCACATTCCACACTGCTTCAGTTTGAAAGCGTTTTTGTATAAGGGGCTGGTACGCTGTGCCTTGTCTTTTGACATTCTTCGTCAACCACAATTCTCCCCCTAGTTTGCATTTGCGCTTTCTACAAAGACGTGGAGAATTGAGACAATGGACTTAGCAAGCTGAAGTGGTGAAACACTGTAGAAGGCTCAAATGCAACTTATGAATAGTTGAAGCAAAAGAGAGACAGATTTCCATTCACAACAGACTTCATATTTATCGTTCATTTATTCAAATTGAGTTACAACTAAATGTATGATTGGCAGATTTATCAAAACTTCTCAAATTGAGCTTCCATTTAATGAACACTCAATAAAAGCTCAGCCAATGAAAGAAAAACTTTGATTTTGAAAGTTTCCAATTTACAGTCCCACTTTGTTGGTCTTTTTAAAGACAATTTGAATAAATGTGAGGTCTTTTGAAGAAGGGAAGAGGGTGTAGATCAGGTAAGTATCAGTCCAGAAAGCCAGTCTTGCAGATGATGGGAAAGAAACTTGATGGGCCTGTTTATTGGGGGAGAACTTTTTTGTCTGCATGTTGAAAGTCTTTAGGCCTTTAAGCATCAGTCATGTTTTCTTGGATTGATCAGGCTTTTACCTCAAACCAACAGGCATCGGAAAGGTTGGTGAGCAATGCAACATTTTTCAATTCTAGTAGAGCTGACACATCAACCTTTACATTTTTGGATTGATGGTAACTGCTTGGAGAAAAAACGTTTAAAATGTTTTATTTAAATATAGAGTCCTCTGTAGGTTTTAGGGCTGAAGATAAAAGTAAGGTTCAGGGGCATCAACTAGTGAGTAAATAGTTAGCTTTTCCCAGGTAGGTTTTATGTTGTGAAGGTTTCTTTTTACCACTCTTGCCTCGCCATACATATACTGTGTTTGTGAGTTTATTCTGTTGATCTCCATTAAAAAAGTCTTTGACATTTCTTGCCATTTCCTTATATGTGATGCTTCATTTACGTTAATGACCATTTTCTTTGAAACTTTTAGTTCTGCTCCATGTGATTCGTCCTCATTTTTTGTCCTTTTATGTTTCCCTTTTTCTTTCTTTTGTGTTTGTGTTGTCCACCATCATCACCATCACCACCACCACCACCACCACCACCATCACCATATTCATTTCAACCACAAAAACAAAACTAAAAACAAAAATCCTGCAACCACAACCCCCCTATGAACCCCTTAATGGAAACCAATACAACTCAAACGGTCAAAACAACCCTTATAAATCAAACGGCAACTTCCTGTCCCTTTCGAAAACGATCCACCAATCAGAGCCCTCTGCACCGCCTCAGGAAGTCACATGTTCTAGCCCAAGTTCCACCAATATTCTGGTAAGTTGGAAGCCGCCACCTGTGGAGCTTCAAAACGGGATCATTACCAAATACACAATTCAGTACGTCGCCACAGAAGGAGAGGACACATCTTTACAGCAGATTTCGGAAATTCCTCCGGAAAATTCCCAGTACCTCTTGGAAAACTTGGAAAAATGGACGGAATATCGCATCACAGTGACTGCCCATACGGATGTCGGACCTGGGCCTGAAAGCTTGCCACAGCTCATCCGAACAGAGGAGGATGGTATGTTTTTTCGCCACAAAAAAACTGTTCTGACCCCTTTGCTAATCTTTCCCCCTCGTCCCTCAAATTCTTCTGGCTTCATGATCCTGCTTTTGACAGACTTTTGTCCGAACTCCTTAGTCCCTCCTTTCTCCCTTTGTTTGTGGCAAAAAAAAAGTTATTTGTAGATTAATCCCACTAACCTGGATTTTTTGTGATGCCTCTGCTTGCTGTACTACTTCTTAATTTTTGGATTTTTTTTTTTAAACTTTTTTTTTTTTGGATTTTTGCTGGTAAGCCAATTTCAACAATTATATGGCATTTCTTTCCTCGTACCCCAGGCCTAAAACTTCCACCACTCCCAACTGTCTCTTTTTACTTTTTTTTTTAATAAAGCATTTATACATTTTTAATTTTTTAAAAACAAAAATTAACAATAAAGCTGCTGATCCTTTTACTTTTTTCCAAAACACAAAAGAAATAAATGGACAGTGGGAAGCACAAAAATAAAGGAAGTCTTTTTTCACCAATGGCCCATACAACCTTTTTTTTCTATATTTCAATTTTTTTATTTATTTTTTTCTATGCATCCTAGCCAAACTCTTTCTGGGTGCTTCAAAGTTTTGAAGGACCTGCTTTGGCTAATTTTTGTACATTTTTTCCATATTTTGAATCCACTAAATCCATTTTTTTATGTCTTGCAAAAAATAAGGTCACCTATGCGACCTGTTTTTGGGGGTTGTTTTAATTTTTACTTGCCATTGTTGAAATATCAGTGTCATGCACTTGTTAACAGTTTGCTGCTGCCCTTTTGTAGATTTTTAATCGGTCCACCATCTTGTTGATGGGAGTTGTCCAGTCAGGGGGAAGGGGTCCGCTATAATGTTGACGTTTTTGTTTTTTTATCCCATGATTCCTTCAGTGCCCAGTGGCCCGCCTCGTAAAGTCGAGGTGGAGGCTGTCAACTCCTCATCTGTTAAAGTGCTGTGGCGATCGCCGGTGCCCAACAGACAACACGGGCAAATTCGCGGCTACCAGGTGCATTATGTCAGGATGTTTAATGGGGAACCGATGGGCCATCCTGTCATCAAGGACATCCTGATTGATGATGCTCAGGTAAGCACACACCTGCACAGTCCTCTGTATACCAGATGAAATCTTTCCCAGCGTTCACCATTTGAAAGTTTGAGGGCGCATAGCTTTACAAACTGCTTTTAACACAAATCAGCATGTTTTCAGTAAATCACAATATTAAATAAGCAATCTACATATTTAGCCTACATATTTAGTTTTACTACATGTTTTTTCTGTGCATAATGCCACAGCCTACACATTTTATGTCCTTGTTCAGATGTCAGTACCCAAGTCTTTCTGGTTTATAAACAACCTTTGAGCTAAAAGTGTTTCTGTATAATGTCACTTGTATCTAAACCTTGTCTGTCATTTTTTACATAGGTTAAAATGATAGCTCCCTTCATATTGTGTCAAAATTTCATAACACATGGACCAAAAGAAATGCTCTAAAATGGCCTAAAATAAAATTCTTTTACATTAACATAAAAAGTTTCTCCTTCTGCTGTAAAGTTTCTTTTTTGGAGATACAAGGTTTTGTTCCAACAGCAACAATATGTGCTTTTGACAATAATTTGGAAAAGAAAACTGTCAAAATATTAGTAAGTTAGTAAGTTGAATTAGGAAACATATTTAAAGCATGTTGACAAAACAGAGCACGGCCGATACATCGGATATAATATCAAGCCTATAATATCAGCTGATGTTGACGACACGCAGTTTTATTGACTTCTGCAATTAATGCACCATAGTTTCCCACTTTTATCATCATACATAGTTGAGATGCAAACCTCTGAATGCATGACAGCAATACAGGCTGGACTGCTAAATCTAAAGACAAAACACCATCGTGGATACAGTAACAAAAACATATCAAATGTACCCTGACCTCACCTTTGATGCAAGAAACAAACTGATAATAAATAAGAAAAAAAATGATAATTAACAGAAATAATTTCTGCTGTTTATTTGACTTGAAAGCACCTGAATCCTGTAAATTTTTTTCTGTTCTGACTGGCGGCCCTCATTCATAAGCAAGGTGTCGCCAGCATCAATTTCAGAATGGATACATTTACAAAAAAACAATAAAGTTGGTAAGATGAAAGATTAAATATTTTGTGTTACTGTACTATTTTCTTTAAATACAGGTCAAAGTGAATGTACAAATCACTGCTTTCTGTTTTAATTGGCATTTCACATACTGTCCCAACTGTTTGGAATTGAGATTTGTAAATAAGAACCCCTGCTCTTCTTGAACTTGAAGCTCAGTGCTGAAGCTAAATATACTTAAGGGATTAGAACAAGGCTGCTTTATTATTACTAAACCTTTACAGGAATGTCTTTCTTACTTCATTGAGAAATAACAATAGATTAATTGATGCATTAATTTAAAAAGTAATTTCCATTGAATCTGTGAGTCATTTTGCCTCAACAGAAAAAGTTAGCAGTTAGCAGTTAACTCACTAAGTCTGTTAATGTTGCAACTAGATATATTCAGGCTACAGTAACTGCAGTGGAGAAGATAAAATAGCATATGTGGAAAGGGTGAAAATGGAAAATGGAAATTGGAATCCCCTCATCTTAGACGGATATGGTTAATAATAGTAGTGACATTAATGCCGATGAATTTTTCCATCACACATATACCCGCATGACATGTACATGATTATATGGCTTTAAATTAGAAAGTGGGAATAGTGATGAAATCTGCCTGCATGGCTACACATCCATCTAGAGGAGTTGCTGCAGGTTTTTCTGTGACTAAATGTGTGCGTATATGTTACATTCTAACGTAATGCTAACATAATGGAGTCTATTCATCACTACTTATGAACTGTCATCTAGCTATTTTACACTGCAAAAAATAATATCTTAGCCAGCCAAATCACCTTAAATCTAGCTGATATATCCAATATCGCTCATGTTGAGATTGTTGTAAGAATACTATTCTTATTCAACCTATTTTTAGACATTTTTACTTGCTTTAAGTGACTTTAGTGAAAAACAATACAAAATATTAGATGTATTAACTAGATGCAAGGTGATTTCACTGGCCAATATGTCATTTTCTGCAATGTACAGTATGTGCAAAATTCAAAGACCACTTGTAATTTATTTAATTTCCAGTCAAAAGTGCAAGTTATTCATTTTTTAGGAAAACAAGCAGAAAACAAAGTACACAGAAGTCTCAACAGCTAAACATAATAGCAGATTTTTCAGTTTTTCGTGTTTCCACTCTTTACATTTATTACAGCTTCCATTCTTTTCAGAAGATACACTTTCAGTTTTTTAAACAAATCTCCAGGAATATTTTTCATGCCTCCAAAGTTCAGTCTTAGAAGTTGGTTACATTACAAATTGAGACTCATTGATCGAACCTGTAAAACCTTCCACATCTCAAATGTCCAGTGTTCTGGTGCAAATGTTCATTTTTCTGTTTCCTTTTCTCAGTAAGAGCTTCTTGTCAGCTACACATCCTTTCAGACTCATAGTGTTGAGTGTCTTCTCACAGTGGAAGGATGGACAGAAACACCTGTGGATGTTTTCAGATCTGAATCCAGAGTGGAGCTTGATTTTTTCCTCTCTCTCAAAAATGAAAGCTTTAAGTACCGTTTATCTGATGGGGACAGTCTTGTTGGTATACGAGGTTTTACATAGTTGTTAAAAGTCATAATTTCTCTTTTTTTTGAAACACCTGTTTTTAACTTCTCAGAAGTATCTCCAGAAAATGAATGTCTTGTACTTAATGGCTGTTTTGACTGGAAATTTAAGAAATGAAGGTCTCTGACTTTGGCACACTCTTCCCTACAAAGTCTGATAGGATATCATGTGTATACATTTGTCCTGTTTCCCCCACCCTATCTCTGCATGAGTGGGTATTTTTTTCTTGTAACTTAGCTTGTAACTTAGTTTCTGTTGTTTTTCTTCCTTATCTTCCAACCCCCTCGCATCTAAAACAGTGGGAGTATGATGATTCGACTGAATATGTGAGTAAAGATGAAAGTGTGTCTGAGAGTAAATCCTGTTTACTCCCACACCTCTTCATAACTAGCATGCGCTTCAGTGTGTGGCTTAACCGTTAACGTCATTCAGATAAAAGCTAGCTCAAAGGCACACATAAAAGCATAGCTGATATTACTTATTTGTGTGCTGATGTAGCACTTTTTATGAGTTCATGTAGGTAGACAGAGAATCTTTGGTAACACTTTACTTGAACCCTGCTACACGACATCAACATAAACGTGCCATGAACATGTCATATGCTGTCATTATGTCCAGTAATGTAATAGCATCATGTTACCATCACTGGTAAATGTTATGACAGATATCATAATGTTTGATGAGTAAACAGCAATAATTAGCATGTGACATAAGCCATCATGACATCAAACATTATGACAAGTTCAGGAAAATTACTGGTTACATAACACTGTTATATTACTGTACAAAATTTGTCCTTACTCATGACACCATATGACATCTGCCTTGACATATTTATGATGTGGTTATGTCACTGTTATGTAGCACGGCTCAGTTGTTACCGAATCTATAGTGAACACAATACAACTACGTACAACCCATATGGGTGGTTTGTTATAGTAAATGGCATATTTTTTATATTGTATTATTAAATAGTGTTTGTCTTTGTCGGGACAAAAAAAATCTCCATTTTTGTAGTTTTTTTTTCTTGTTTACTTAAATTATTTGTATTTGAAAACATTATGTGAAAATTTCATGATGAATAGAGAAATAGAAATGGTCCATAATTATGGTCCAAAAATCTTTTTACATTAATTACCATTCAAAGTTAAGAATGTTTTTTCCTTTTCCGTTTCTATATGTTGGAGAAGTTTTGTTCTGACAGTGACAATTTATATATTTTATATAATGTTTTTACTTTCTAAGTTTTTTAAATTTTTATGTGTTTTCATGTTCCTGATTCCTGTCGATGCCCCAGCCCACAAATCTGTTCTTTCATAGCAACTGTTGCTAGGCTGGACAAGCTTTACAGAACATTGTGAAAAAATCCCCTTTAAACTAATGAGACACTAGCACACTTTATTTAGAGTCACTACATAATTCCGCATTCCAGTTTGCTGGGGGCTCCCAGATGGTGCAAATATCTAAGCCAAGATCACAAGTTTACGTGTGCAGGAGTCCAAAAGGAAGGATGTGTTAGCCTTTACCCTGCCTGCTTGGTAGCTGCCTCATAAATTCCTGTAGTTTTTGCTCTTTTAATGTTCAGAGTGCAATCAGTAACACAAGCAAGGCAGGCTAGCTTGGGAAATGTATTTGGGGTCAAATCGGGGTACATTCACATCATTTGGCAGACGCTCTTATCCAGAGCGACTTACAATTTGATCATTTTACACAGGTAGTCTTGCCCAAGGACTCTTAATGGTATAGTGCTTGCCCAGGCAGGGAATTGAACCCCAGCCTACAGCATAGAAGGCAGAGGTGTTACCCACTACACTATAGCAATGCTATCATTACCTAACAGAACTGTATTTCTCCTGTATTTCTCTTGTTTCTCATTTGCTGCACACAATGTGTTCCTACATCTACATGCTTAATAAGAGGGACTTGTCAGTCATGCAAACTTATGTTACATCTGTGTGCAAGCAAGAGGCTTTCCCTCCGTTGGACAGTGTTGCCCAAGCGCACTTCATCCACTGCTTTAAGCTCCACCTTCATGATATGTTGAATTGGTTTAGAAATTTTGGTCTCAGTTTGTTCCCACCCAAAACTTCTCAAGGTTGTGCCCAGACATTTTTGAGTTCATGTCTGCTCCCAGAAGACTACACTCTGTAAAGCTTGCTTTCTTAGCAGCAGTAGCTATGAAAAACGCATTTGTGGACAGTTCAGTGGTCCTTGTGTACTTTACACTATGGAGTTTCATGTTAGCATGCTTTTGCCTGGTTTTACTTTAACTTTTTAGGTTTTAAAACAACCATCTTTTTGGCCTTCAGGAAATGGTCCTGACCGATTTGCAGGCAGAAACCACATACTCAGTTACAGTGGCTGCCTACACCACAAAGGGTGACGGAGCTCGCAGTAAACCAAAGCTGGTCACCACCATGGGTGCAGGTAGGAGTCTTTTAGCTCTCTGTTTTCTCTTTCTTATATGATTTCCTGTGAAAAAAAGACCAGCATGCCATGCACCTACAGCTTGCATGCCAGCAAGAATGAAACCTTTCCCCCTTTCACCTATTAAAAGTGAATGCAAGTAATTGCCCTTTCAATTATAACAGCGATTGTAATTCTGCTCACTTACCGATTTGACTTTGAAATGCTGGCAGGGGTTAAGGAAATAATAGAGAAATGTGTCAGGAGAGTGGCGAAAAAAAGACTTTAACAAATGAATAGAATGCTTCACAACCTCTCTATTTTTCCGTTGAAAGACTTAAAATACACAATCAGACAGTATTTCTGCTGTTGTACCACTAATGGCGCTGCCATTCAGAGCTCTAAATGATCCCAGATTATCCCTGCTGTTATTCCTTAATAGCAATGCTTAATAGCTGATTGTATCTAAGGATTTGTCCAACTTTTACCAAATGTATAAAGGCTCCACATGTAAAGCCTTTATGTACCAAAATAATCATCTGAAGTCTTTCTTACTTAAACACTACAAAAGTGGCATATTAGCCATTGACAACATTTTAAATCTAGTCAATATTTGTAATATTTCTTATGAAATTGTTGTAAGAATGTTGTAAGATCATTTAGCTTTTTTTCTTATTCTGTCTGGCAGATATTTTACTTGTTTTAAGCATAAATACTTGAAATAAGCAAAACTGTCTGCATTATGTCTCAAAACAAGTAAAATGATCTGCCAATGGAATAAGACATTTTCACTAAATTACTTAAAACAATTTTTTAAAACAAGTAAAAATGAAATAATCTATAAATAAGTAAATAATCTCAGAAAATTCTTGTGACAGTCTCATAATGAGAAATGTTAGATCTACGAACTAGATTTAGGATGTTTTTGCATGCTAAGATATAATAGTTTTGTAGTGAAGGGGTAGGGGAGAGTGTTATGCTAACATTTATGTTAACATTTTGTTTTTTGCTAAATAAAGATATTTGAACAATATGAATTGTTTTCTACACAAGAAACTGCCACTTCATGCCACCCCCAGCCCAGTGCTCCTTAAATTCACTTAATGAGCAAGGACCACCAGAACCTTTTTCATTTTGCTGGCTAGGTAGTCGCTGGATGGCAGTGAATTGTGATTGGCTGGCATAATCATTTAAATTTAATAATGTTTAAAAACAGCTAGCATTTTTAAACATATAAAATGTTTTAGGCATTGCTGAAGTACATTTAATAAACTTACAAAAAAAAGGTTTAATACAGATAGCTCTGACCTTCTGAAATTTGAATATTGTCTGTGGACCCCTTAGTACCCCCATGCGGCCCCCCAGGGGTGTCATGGCCCCCACTTTGAGAATGTCTACTCTAATTTACCTTGTGTGAACTTGTGCCTCACTGTATTCTTCTGTACAGTTTTGTTATAGAAGAGGGAAATGGTCTGTTATTGTAACTTAGAAATCTAAGAATGTTTGCTTATTCTTTCAAATGATATTAATTTGTTTGTTTATTTATAGCTTTTATGTACTAAAGTAATAATTAACTGGCATTTTCACTTGAAGTGGTACTGTATTGTCATGGTCATAAGAAAAGGAAAGACTTAAAACTCCGATCTCTAAAATGATAACTTTATTGGAGAAGGAAAAAAGTTTAACATGCGCTAATGTAACAAGTAACATAACAAGATTTTATTCGAAGTAATTTTGGACCATTTCTATGGGTGCATTCATCATGAAACACTTACACAAGGTAAAGGACCGCTTGTGTTTTCATAGAGTGTGAAAAAGTAAAAAAGAAAATGAAAGGTTTTTGAGGTTTTCTTTTGACAGCAGCCATCATTTGACCTCAGCTGTTTCTGTTTGGGAATTTATTACATTGCCTGCATTGCCTACAGTCATCATTACCTTCTTTCTTGTTTTTGCCAGTCCCAGAGAAACCTCGTCTTATGGTCAGTCCCACTAACATGGGCACGGCCTTGCTGCAGTGGCACCCTCCCCCGAATACTCACGGCCCACTCCAGGGCTACCGGCTCCGCTTCGGACGCAAAGATGTGGAGCCTCTGACAGTCATAGAGTTCCCAGAACGTGAGAACCACTACACTACCAAAGAAATCCACAAAGGAGCGTCCTATACTTTCCGCCTCTCAGCACGCAACAAGGTGGGCTTTGGTGAGGAAACGGTTAAGGAGATCACTACGGCCGAGGACACGCCCTCCGGTTTCCCACAAGGCATTGTGGCCGAAAGTGCCACCACCACGACCATTCAGGTCAGCTGGCAGCCCGTATTGCTAGCAGAGCGTAACGGAGTCATTATCAAGTACGCCCTTCAGTACAAAGACATCAACAGTCCCCGGAGTCCCTCCGAACTCTTCATCGCTGCCCCAGAGTCCACCGTAATCCTGGACGGCCTTAAAGCAGACACTACTTACGATATCAAAATGTGTGCCTTCACCAGCAAGGGTCCTGGGCCTTATAGCCCTAGCATCCAGTTCAGAACACAACCTCTGGATCAAGGTAGGAGGCCCACCCCAACCCCTCCAAAACCCCCCAAATCAACCTCCAAACAACCAGCCTCTTCTTCCAACCTTGTTCAACCTTACCCCAACAGCAAGCAAGTGGCGGGTTTCGGAAGGGATGTGGAAGCTAGCGTTCCGGGATTAGCCTGGGGTTAGCCCCGATCATAGGTTCTTAATGTGAGATTGTAGTTAGTATCTCCACAAGGAAAGCCTAGAAGTTGGTAAGCAAATGGTAATTTCCAGGTAAACAAAGGTAAGACAAAGGTATTGCGCTAGCCCTCTTTAAGCCGTGCTGTAGAAGAGAAAAATGTTACCCAAGGTAAGGCCGTAACGTTTGGCCACTACTCTAAAAGGAGTAGAGAGTAAGAGAATGGTTCTGTGTCGGCCATGTTTGTCTAAATCATCTGCTCCACCTTTCTTTTAGCAGTGTTTGCAAAAAATTTTCACGTGAAAGCTGCCATGAAGACCTCTGTGCTGCTGACCTGGGAGATTCCAGACAACTACAACCCTGCGCAACCGTTCACAGTGAGAGAACTTCACAAAATTGCATTTTGGCATTTTCACAGCATGCAAGGTGTTATGCTAAAAATGTCTGAAATGCATTTTACTTATATTGAAGTTTGCTAGCTTTAATTAGTTTAACAGTTACGTATGTAGTGGCAATAAAGCCATTCTTGCTTACATTTGGGTCAGTTTGGCCTCAGTTTGTTGATGCTGTACTGATTAATAAGGTTGGTTAACCCGCAAGTATGCTAGAATTCTACAGAACTGAGGTGGCCACCCTAGGTGTGTTTAATCTTTTTCTTTGTAGATCCTGTATGATAATGGCCAAAGCGTAGAGGTGGATGGGAAACTGACCCAGAAGCTGATTACCAACCTGCAACCAGAGACGCAGTACTCTTTCCTCCTGACCAACCGAGGAAACAGCGCCGGTGGTCTGCAGCACCGTGTTTCCACCATGACTGCCCCAGACATCCTGCGCACCAAACCCTACTTGATTGGCAAGACCAACTCCGACGGCATGGTCACAGTGCAGCTGCCCTCTGTGCAGACCACAGAGAAAGTCAAGTGAGTGAGGGCAACAGAGCAAAAGCTCAATTAATACATACATAGAATATTAAAACTATCATTGCTATGTTAAAGGGAATTCCAGAGATTTAGCTGTTAATTGTAAACAGAGTCATTCAGAGTGGTGTGATATGAAATGGTTCATTGTAGAGAAACCAACTCAGATTTCTTTATAGTGGTGGTGATAGGAACCAGGGGTTGCAATGTCTACAACACAAATACAGCATTTTATTTACTATCCAAAACCACCAGTGACCCTACACGTTTTATATGTAATGTTGATGATAGTAAAATAGTGGAAGCCAAAATCTTATCTCAAAACTAACGTCTCAGGCATCAGGCAGCACATTCATTACATTTCATGTAATAGCTTTTGTGACATCTGGTTCCTGTCACCACTACTGTGAACAATTCTGACTTGCTCAATTTCTCTAGAACAGAGCATTTCACACCAAACCACTCTGAACGACTTTGTTTAGATCTTAACCTTTTATTGGGCAGTAATTTTGAAAAATTGGTAGAATTCCCCTTACAAGTATTACGTCTTCTTTTCGGTGAAGGTTGGTTGATAAATGTGTCCTTCAATGTTGAAAACTTTGTATTATTAGCTTATTTTAAACTCAAGTTCCATAAGGCACGCTTGACACATAGTTCAATCAAATCATACAAAAATGTGAGGTACAGCACTTTAATTAAGCTTACAATTATTGTTTTAATGTTACATTTAACATTTATAGTGTGACTCTGTTGCTGGAAGCAGACAGTTGGGCTAACAGCTTAGCATCTCTCTCTCCAACTTCTGATCCCAAACTGCCTCTCTCCCTCTCTCTTCCTGCCTGTCTCTCTCTTGCTTTCTCTCTCTCTGGCTCTTTTCTCTGTCCATCTTTTTTTTTCTTTGATCCCTCCACTCTTTTCTCTTCCCTCTGCCAGGGCTTAAGCTAATTAGCCAGCCATTAGCCTCCCTCTCTGCTCCACTCTGCCTTCCTGGCTAGTGCTAGCAGCGTTATGTCCAACCCAGTCTCCCTAACCTTGGCATAGCCTTTATCTCCCTGCTTGTCCTCTTCGTGGGGAAACCCCTCTCATCTCTGCCAGACAGCAGACAGAGCCAGAACCCCTGCCCCCTTCTTCTCTAGGAGCTAACTGAGGTTTAGCGATGTTAAAAGCACTAATCGTTCTTCTGTGAGATCTTAGCGCAAGTGTAACAAAATAAACAGCCTGTGTTGGGCTGCTGGTGACATTCAGGCCCTTTTTATTTACTCTTTCTGTTGTCTTTTATCGAACGTGTTGTTTAATCCAGTGTTGTTTGAAGTGGATTAGGAAAAAGCTTGTGCATATTGATCGGCTAATCTCGGCGGACCGTGTGTTTCTATAAAGAAAGCCCTTGGTAGATAAGGAAAAGAAGAGTTCCTTCATGCTTCAACTGCCATGAATAAGTAAACACCTTCCTTAGCCAGCTAGAAAGGTTCTTGGTGGGGAAAAACAAGATAAACTTTAATACAAATCTAAAGGTCATGATTTAATTGTGATTTTCTGTCCGTAGGGGATACTACATTGTTGTTGTCCCTCTGAAGAAACAGCGGACAGGGAAGTTCGCCAAACCCTGGGACAGTCCAGATGAGATGAACCTGGAGGAGGTATGAAGAGTTTCGTTCTCACCAGAGCTATACAACATGATCAATGTCCTCTCTGTCCTAAACACTAACAAAGCTACCCAGATAACAAGAGGACACTCAGCCACTGTTGGCCCTCTGACGGGAAAGCTGGCAGCCCACTGACTTTTTGCTCAGCATTTTCCGGGCGACCCACCAGTGGTTACCAGAGTATTACACAAAATGTTACTTTTCATTGCTCATTTTTCTACTCATAGTTCAATTTACTTATTTTTCCAACATTTTCTTTTTTTACATTAGCATTTGTAAGCTAGTTTAGTAAACAATTTTAGCAGCAATGTGATAAACAAAGCCAATTGTACAGCTGTAACCACTCTAGCACGATGTCAGCACCCACATTTTCACAGCCTAGTTATAATTTTTTTCTCTCAATTGTTTGTCATCAAGCCAGTGGACCGATACATGCTATATATCTGAAGTGCAGTAGGTTCAGCCATGAGTAGGGCAAAAAACTAGTATTGCAATCATACTGCTACATGTTGCACTTGCAGTATGACTTGCAATGTTTTTATTACACATTCATCGGCTTGCATTATTTCAGTCATTTGATGGATCAGACTAATACCAAGAGTCATTAAAACACCCACAGAAACTCACACTGTGATTGGTTAGAGGTGCAATACAATAATTAAGAAATGGTATATTGATATAATAAAGTATATTGCAATTATATTGCTACATAGCGTGATTTTGATACACCTTGCAATAAGAAAGGTGGGCGTCTGGGCATCTTTCACCAGCACCAAGAACAATTTTGACTCTGTAAGTTTCTCAAGATGGAAGCATTTCACGACAAACCACTTTGAAGAACTTTGTTTACATCTTAACAGTTTAATTATGCAGAGCATAAAGTCACCTTTAAAACATCGGCCTGCATTGTTTTGTCCAAAAACATTTGCAGTAACTGTTTACTGAATCGTTTACCAAAGTAATGCACTGTTACTGGATCTTGAATACCATCAGAACATCAGCAGAAGCTATCTAGAACATGTAAAACTTTGACTGGCCAGGATTAGGACTGAGTAGCATTCAGAATGGTTTCATATCAATACAGAAACCCTGGCTTGCAAATTCCTGAAGGATGCAGTTCCTTTTTTTTAATTACAGACTGAAAGTGGGTGTGGCTTAAAGCAGAATTGAGTGTGAGGTGTCTAAAATGGGTATAACTACTTTAACAAGTTCTTACAAATACTTACTGACATTAATAACACACGTAGAGAGTAATTCAGATGTCCAATCAGCAGTCTAGATTTTGGGACAGGCATTCTTATTGGCTCAGTAACACTGGTAACACATACTGTATAGGTATTGAAATCCACAACTGAATGACATGGCAACCATGGGCTGGAAGTTAGGGAACCAGCCTTGTGACCGGAAGGTTGCCGGTTCGACCCAACTGCTCCCTGAGAAATACTCTGTGATACTGAGGTACTATGCTGTATTCAGGATGCTCTTAGCACACAATAACCAGGTTTGTGATTGGTTAGGTTGGCTCATTTGCATATTACAGCCTTCTGCAATTTCACTGTAGCATAGGCCACCATTGTGATAATGATGAACAGAGGATATAGTGGACTGTGCAGCCCTAATATGCACTGAAAAGTCCTGAAAAAGGTGAGAGCTTAGAAATCTCATGTTTTCCCACTACTTTCCGCCAGAAGTTTCACCAAAACAAGCAACATCAAAACTCCAATCTGAGCATTAGCGACAATGATGACAACACAGAAAAGTAGCTGCACTCAAGCTGCTGTGGAATGGCCATTCAGTCTGGCTTTAGAAAAGCAAGAGAGAGAGAGACAGAGAGAGGGAGGATGAGTTCAGCACTCTCAGCCCAGTCATTCCATCATTCCGCCTCTGCTGCCCACATTCTGTAGAGCAGCTAGCGCGGAGCTGCATTCATATGCAAATGGACCCTGATAGGCTAATGGACGCAGCGCTAGCGCTAACACCATAATGTGTTGCCTCTTCTTTTGAAGTGCAGACATTGATGATTAAGAGAGGGTGAATAGAGAGAGGGAGAGGCAGCGAGAGGAAGAGGGAGAGAGAGAGAGGGGAAATTTTATCACTGTAGCACACCGTGTTGCATTATTTTTTAGCCAGGGAAAATATTTGATGTGCTTGTTTACATAATGAAGAAGCGCAGAAAGCTTGAGAAAATGTAAAAGTAAGTGTTCTGATCTTGTCTAGTGTAGCATGAGCATCCGATATCAAGCAACAGCGCTAATTTGTGAGCTAGGAAACTTTAAAAGCATGCACCTGGGTGACAGGATCATATGTTAGCGCAGTCATGATAAATAACACTTAAGTGGCTTATTGCTTTTACAGAACTGGGCAACATAAAATATGATAAAATACACAAATTTTCAATACACCAGTTATTAGTCATAGTAATATAAGAAATGTAGTTCCTTTAGAGCCCATGTGTCAAACACAAGGCCTGCAGCCCAGATTAGGTCTGCCACACAGTCCTATCCAGCCTACAAAAGTGTTTATGTTAATATTAGCCTATTTCACAATGTGCTGCACTACCCAACTTGCACTGCAATGTAATGTGCTCTGACTCTCCTACCCCAACAACAGTCCATGGGACAGCGGTTACACCTCAATTCTACACAATTCCACACCAGTCATATCACAAAAAATGCATTTCAGCTGCAGTTCAACCAACATAAACACTTAACATTAGCTTAGCAATTGAGTCCAAGTCTTAATGCACTTGAAAGAAAGGATACCAGGTGTGTATTCCAAGCAAATAGGTAGGTTTAAAAGACTGAGCTCCTGGCCAGTGAGTGTGTACATATGTGTGGGAGAGAGAGGCAGCAAGAGAATGAACATCTGAAGCCTAACTTACCTCACTGTCCTAATATACGTGCCCCTAATCAGATATGGAGGTCTCTGGTCAATGTCTTTGTCACTTGCGGCTTGTAAAGGTGGATTCTTCATGGCTGCATCAAAAATGAAGAAAAAAGTAAGCAAAATTAGACAGGAACACTCACCAAACAAAACATATGGATGAGAATATGTTAATCCAAAAAGTAGACAGTATTAAAAATATACAAATCAACAAGAAAAAGAACAGGCATATGCAACAGAATACAAGAAGGAGCATGTTATTGTGAATACCAATGTACTATGTCTTTCACTCACAACCTTGAAAGCTCTATTGCTTATATGCAACAGTTTTGCAAAGTAAAAAAAAAAGTTCTAAATACATCTTAAATGCATAAAATATACGTTATAATACGACATATACTAATATTAGGAGGAGCAATAATATAAACAGTCCTATAAGTGAAAGCACCTGGGACAAGCTGTAAGTCCTGATCAGTAGTGAACCAGATGGATGACTGTAGGAGGAGAGAACATTGGGCGAATGTTTAAAAGAGCTCTGTTGGAACTTACCTGCTAGTTAGCTAGGTTAACAACTCTAACAAATGTTTACACACCAGTTTATTACAAATTGTATATAAATTCGACACAATATAAAATGGTATTTCAAAAAACAGACTTTTCTCTTATTATTTTGTGAGAGCAAACATTCATCTAACAGAGGTGACTTGCTAGCTTAGCTAACTACCACAGCAGATAATGGCGAGCTAACTGACTGTTAGCAAGTGATGCTCATTTTCATTTTACCATATGAGGAGTTCAACACTACCAGATCTACCAAAAAAAGTTTGAGTAAGTGTCTGACTGGAAAAAAAAATGTTGGTACGTCAAATAAACCAAGCATTTAACTTACTTACCAGGCGGGTTTTGAAGCCTTCCGAAGTTTCCAGAAGCTGCTCTAAGCGCGCGCTTCCCGCCTCTGCTGTGGAGCGTTGGTGACGGCTCGGACCTCAATACGGGTACAGTCTGCCTCAATATAGGTGGGATCTGCCTCAGTACTGGTGGAATCTGTCTCAGTACAGGTAGAATTTGCCCTTATGTTTCTTTCCGAAATCTCAGTTGCCGAGACTCGCTCGTACCCGTCCCGATTCCGGTGTGCTAAAACTCTTAGCCTAAACCGCCGCACAGCAGCTTAGCTCGGGCCATAGATATACATACCTAGATGCCGCGTTGGGCCCAGTCAGGCACGTCAACGGCACCGCCATTTTAGGGCGGTCAACATCGCTGCTGGACTGCATTTAGTACCGTTACTGAGCGGCAGTTTCAGAAAGATACTGTCCAAAATTATGCTATTTTAAGAATATTGCGCTCAGAAAGTTAGATAGGATTGTATAACGGAGTGATTCACGCTCATGTTTGTGTGATGCGTATTGTTTGTGATGTTTATGTGTAGATATGGTCGAGTGGTTGGTGATGCACAGAGAACCTGTTGATGTGATTGTTTTTCCTCTGTTTTTATATTAAGCTTATTTCATTTAATAGTCTATTCAGGGGATCCTAACTTTATCTAGTAGTTATTTACAAATGATGGTCATTGCTTTGTAGCTGGGTAAATTATAGCATTCCTTAATCCGTGTAGATTTTCATAATAGATTAACGTTGTCACCTTCTTACACTAAGCTGAATTTAGCTTCTTATTTGCCAGCTTCTTATTCGAATTTCCACCTTAAATGGTGCAGCTCCAGGCACCAGAAAGTGACTGCTGCACCATTTAAGGTGGAACGAGAAAACTCGGAACAAGAAGCTGGCTGATAGGAAGCCAATTTAAGCTTCGTCCTTCTGTGTTTGGGGGGTTTATTTTTATTTTAATGTGTATTAAGATTAGAAGTGGTTCACACATTGGTGGATAAACTTGGTTTTTAACGTCAGGTGCAGACTGAATACTTTCCTGCTGGTCCGGACGGCTGATTATCACACTATCAGTTATTAAAGATATAAAAGCTACCGAGAGCAGTCCGTGCAACCTGGATTAATCTATGTCTGAGGATTATAGCAAAATATGGTGAAAATCGGTTCAGTAACGTTAATAAAGTAGCTAACGGCCAGCCTGCTATAGGAGAATGTACAATATGAACCAAACATGGTCCGCTAACGGCTGTTTTTGTTAACTTTTGCAGCAAAAAAAAATTTCTATGTGTAGTTTTGTACACTGGGTTTGATATAACTAACTTACTCCGTCGTGTAGCTCCGTGTTTATAGACAATCAGATGGACGCGGCGGAGTCAGCTGGCTGAACAGCAAACCCGCTCAAGTACTGCAACTCAGGGAAAACGTCGACTTATTTAAAGCTGCACATTTTTAAATCATGGGGCATATATTTCAGCTATATATCAACATGTACTAACATATATGCGTAACATATATTTAACAATATGAGGTAGAAAAATCAAATATGAATGGAATATATTATTTATATACTGGCTTCATTTTATTAGTTACAATTAGTGTAATAGCTGCAAAACTAAATTCTAAAAACATGTACGTTGTAAGCTATGCAATAAAACCATTAAAACACGAAACTGTTATTCCCTGAAACGTTTAAATGAACTAGTATTAAATAAAATTATTTTTAAACAACATATGTAGAGTATTCGAACGTATTCAACCATGTATCAGGCAAACATGATCCTATATTGTGCATATATGTCCAATGTTTGATACTTAAATATATGCACAGAACAGGTATGCAAGTATATTTTGAAATATATGCCTGACTCTAGAGGCCTTTATTTCTTACATCTGGCATAAAGCAGAACTGAAACACAGACAATTAAAGTGTGAAAAGCACTGAAGTGTCACATTCTTTAGTCTTCTGTATTGATATAGTCGGTACTCTCTACACCTTCTGTTTCAGTTCAGTCTGTGATATGGTTTGTTTAGCCTATAAGCTATCATCTTTTAGCCTGTTAGCTAGCTGATCAGCCTAGCATTACGTTCAGATATTTGTCCCTTATTCCATTTCCATTTTTAGTGACTTGGTGCAGTAATGTAGTCTTTTATGATGGCTTTGAATGCAGCTCAACCAATCAGACTTTAGGATTTATAATACATTCTGATGCTCTTTTCTGACTATATGATAAGTCTGATCAGTAATTCTACAACACTGAACAACTACTTGGATTTAAATTCATACCAATTATAGAGAGCGTGTAAACAATTACCATTATACAGTAACTGCATAAACTGCATAGTTACAAGTAACTAATTGAATGGCAGCTCATTCTGACATCATATTCATTAATTGATTGATTTATTTGTTTGTTTGTTTGTTTTAAATGTATTCATAATAGTTTTTGTGCCAGCACTGTTTTGCTGGTGCATTTTGTCAGTTCCAACTTTGAATATGATATATATTGTGTCTTCAGGTATCAAGTATCATGATGTTATGTTTCTGCCACGTCGCCCACCCTTAACTCTGATTAGCTAAAGGGTTACAGACTGTTTTGTTCGATAGTTGTTATCACAATATTGCTCTCTGCATTATTAGCAGAGTAGCACTGATAGCGCATACAATGTAGAGGATATTGAAAGGGTGAATGCAAACCGAAGATGATGTTGAAACAAGTGCCTGAAGTCAGTTTGAATCTCTGGTGCCTCATTAAATCTCAAACATATACCAAGTTATTCAATGAAAAAGCAAACAAGTACTGCCTATTGATAAGCACTGAGGCTGTAATTGCTTGCGTCTTGTTGGACAGCTTGTCAACCGAAAGACGAAGACAGTGAGTCACCTTCAAGGACAGACACAGTTTATTAGTTTGTCAATATTGGTGCTCAGAAGTGTTTTGGGAGTCGTGTGAAGGGCAGAGGGATCAAGCGCGATGTGACGGGTCACTTCAGCCGAGAGGATTGAAGACGTTATCATACACATACACACACACACACACAGTCCTTTTGTCTACCATTCATACTTTACCTATATATCTTTCTTTTTTTCTTTCTTCCCTATATTATTTAATTTCTCCTTTTCTGTTTATTTATTTATTTCTATTTCTATTTTTTTTTTATTTCTTTGCTTTTTTCATTTTTTTTCTTTCTTTCTTTCTTTTTTTATGTTTTCCCATCCATCCTCTGAAGCACAAATATAACCTGTTTCATACTGTGTAGAATCACTGTCTGTGTTTCTGAGTTTAGTATGTGGTTGAGTTTAACAGACCTCTGAGTGTAAATGGCTGTTCTGCTCAGTTACTCAAAAAAGCTGCAGATCGTAGAAGAGTGTATGGAAGTGTTAGATCAAAGAGAGCGTAATGAAAACATGATACAGATCTGAAGAGCTACTGCTTTTTTCTTCTCTATCCAATCAGAGCACAGAGTCAGTGTAATCAGTAAAGATGTACAGAAGATTAAAAAGTGGGGAATAGTGTGCAAGATACACTTTAAATGTATATATGAAAGAGAGTGTTTGTTCTTGTTTTATCTACTCTCTGTATAAATGTCCTTATATATATATATATAAATATAAATACATACATATATATATATATATATATATATATATATATATATATATATATATATATATATATATGTTTTTTTTTCCCTCAATTTAACTGGATAAGATTGGTCCAATGGGAGGATAGTCCAATAAGAGTGTGCTTAGCCTAGAGCCTAATGAGAAACTGTAGCAAACAAACCGAGCATATTGTTAGTTCAGGTAGACCACAGTCTTAACTTACCCGCTATTATCAGCTGATCTCAATCAGCTGGCAGGTCAGCTAATGGCCTGCTATGCATACAATTGGCTAAATTCGTCAGGGCCCTTTTTAAGCTACTTTAGCCAGCCCGTTCTCGCCACTTCCTCTGCAAGCCACTTTACTACCCGCCTCCACCTGAACTCCTTCTTCACGCTGTATCTGTCTTAATCAGTGTCTTGTTTGTTGTCATAGATGCCTGCTCTGTTCTGTGTCCTATGGGGAGGTGTTTCTGCTGCTTCCCCTGCCTTGGGCTTTACATGTATGCGCATGGAAAGGCAGGATGTCCCAGAACAGATCACACCACCAAATTTAACTTACTGCAAATGGCAAAATGTTTTCTTTGATAAAATGGTCCTGACTGAACTCGGTTTATATCACAATACCTACATATTATACATAGATATAGATATAAACTGAGTTGTGCACTACAGTTTCTCATTAGGTTGAGTGGAATTTTTGCCAGCATTCATCTAAAGCGTATCCAACCTAACAACAGGAGCTATGAAAACTAATTTGTAGGTGAAGCGTGGGTTTGATGGCAGAATTAATATAAAACCAATGATTAGTCAACGAAACAAATCTCAACTCATGTTCTTTCTCTGTCTTCTTGTCTCATGTAGCTTTTGAAGGAGATAAACCGGACGAGTGGCGTTTTGCGGTTCCGGAGACAGGTCGAGCCTAAGCCATACATTGCTGCGTATTTTAAAGAGTTGCCCACGGAGTTCACCCTGGGAGACACCAAGATGTACGGAGACTTCGAAAACAAGCAGCTCCTTAACGGACATGAATACATCTTCTTCGTTCTGGCCGTGCTGGAGATCTCTGAAAACGTGAGCTTGCACTTTATTAGAAACACCTGTGTTGCACTTCCACTCACTGGCTACTGGATTACCAACACCTACCTTGTACTTCCACTCATTGGCCACTTTATTAGAAACACTCACCTTGTGCTTCCACTCACTGGCCACTTTATTAGAAACACCCACCTTGTATTTCCACTCACTGGCCACCTTATTAGAAACACCTACCTTGTACTTCCATTCACTGGCCACTTTATTAGAAACACCTACCTTGTACTTCCACTCATTGGCTACTTTATTAGAATCCCTTACCTTGTACTTCCACTTACTGGCCAGCTACCGCATTGGTCCACTATATAAGAGGTAAATATTACTAACTTTTGCTGTCAGCTACAGCAGTGTAAAAAACGAATGCTGAACTCGAGTGCTGAACACTCATAGTTTTACAGGTGTACCTCTTCATGTCCATTTAAAGCTCTTGATGGCAGAGCTCTGGCATATTTTACTGAACTGTTGCTCTTTGTTCAACTGTGACAGGCTTACTGCAAACGCTTAGGATCTCTCACAGCTCAGTTGGTAAAAGCTTGTTTTGAGATTTTATAACTACAATGAAAAGTGCTAAATGAACAAAAATAAATAGTTATTATTATTATTATTATTATTATTAATACTATTATTGCATCCCCTCTCCAACAACTTCTCCTTTCTTTTTTCATCCATTTTTCATTTTACATCCAGACCGAAATATCATGTGTCATGCTCTCTCTCTGTCTCTCTCTCTCTCTTTCTCTTTCTCTTTTGATGGAGAGATCTTTTTTATGTCAGGATTTACATGTTCCAGTCAGATGAGAAAATCCATAGAGACTTGGCAGAGGTTGCTTCCCACAGGCTTCTCTCGCTCTCTCTTTCTGTGCCTGTTTCTCTCTCTGTTTATCTATCTCTCTTCCCTCTCACTCCTCTCTTTGTCTCTCTCTCTCTCTCTGTCTCTCTCACTCCCTCTCTCTCTCCCTTTCTCTCCTCTCTCTCTTCCTCTCTCTCCCCTCTCTCTCTCTGTCTCTCTCTCTCTCTCTCTCTCTCTCTCTCTCTCTGTCTCTCTCTCTCTAGAGGATTGTCACTCTAAGGAATGCTGCGATAACTGCCTTCTCTTTAATAGCAACCTTATCTACTCTTATCTACCTTATCTACTGCACTGCAGAGAGAGAGAGAGAGAGAGAGGAAATAGAGAAAGAGAGGGGTGTGCAAAGACAGTAAAAGAGAGAAGGAGGAAGAGAAGAGTGAGATATGTGAAAGAGTGATAAGGAAGATAGAAAAAAGAGAAAAGGAAAAAGGATAGAGAGAGAGAAAAGTAAGATAGAAGAAAAAGTGTGAGAGAGAAAGGAACGAGAGGCAAGAGAGAGGTAGGGAAGAAGGGAGAGCAGTAAGAGAAACACATTAGTATTTCCTGTATGAGGTCAGTTAGCTGAACCTCAGTGAGTTGGACTCTGTCTATATGATGCGTCTTCATGTTTTCTGATGTAGTGTAAAGTCAGTTTTGTGTTTCAGTGTTCGAGTCATGCTGATGTTTCTATTTATTTGCTTCTAGTAAACATGAGCGTTCAGAAAGAGGAGTAAATTAGTCTGTAGTTGTTTGCATTATGGAAACTAGCATGTGTATAAATCAAACCACTGATCACTCAACAGAATTAGATATGGTGTCTGAGTCTGCTTTGGTCTGATTTAAGAGTAATCAAACCTTGTTAAAGCCTTTCATATCTACTATCTGAAGACGCAGAATACTTAAAGTGCTGGCAAACTTTAACATTTTTTTAGATGAAACTTTAATGTAATGTTTTGTGAGTTTGATTACTGTTATACTCATGAAGTGATCAAATTTCCTGATCCCTGGTTCTTTTTGGTATGTTGTGATTTCTTCAACTGTTTGGTTTTAATTCTGAAATTCAGAAGTTTGAACCTCCAGTTCAAGGTTCTAGTTGAATGTAGCTAACAAGCAGTGGAAACTTATATCCCACCTATACAGAACTATTTTTTTTTTAAAAAAAGAACTATAAACAACAGGTTTTCCATCGTAGAGAAGAACCATTTAACCACGTAAACCATCATTTATGCATTTAATTGGTTCTTGGGGTTTTTACTGAAGAACTTTTTGAAGAACCACTTTTGTAAAGGTTAGCTACATAAGCCTTGTAGCCAGTGCAGATCTAAAGTGGTAATCATCAGACATGCTTGGAATAAAAATAGTGTAAATCAGATTTTTCACCAAACTGTTGCTTTAACTTGTCTCCTGTTGTGTGTTCCCCTGTAGACTATGTACGCTACCAGTCCCTACTCTGACCCGGTGGTGTCTGCTGATATTGACCCCCAGCCCATCATCGATGAAGAAGAGGGCCTCATTTGGGTTGTGGGCCCTGTTCTGGCTGTAGTCTTCATCATCTGCATAGTCATCGCTATCCTCCTGTACAAGAGGTAAGAGAGAAAGGGCAGAACACATTCGGTAGCTGTAGATGCATCACTGTGCACCTAAATGTATAAAATGACACACTGACCATAGTAAAAGGGCCAGTGTTAGCATAACTGTTTAGCTCAAACACCACCAATCTCCACCAAACACCAACATTCTCCATCAAACTCCATCATTATCCACCACAAACCAGCATTCTTCATCAAACACCATCATTCCCATCAAACACCATTGCTCTCCACCAAGTATAAACATTCTCCAACAAAATCATTCTTCACCAAACATCAACATTCTCTATCAAACACCATTCTGAAACACCTATATTCTCCATCAAACACAATTATTCTGTAGTGAACACCCTCATACCCCATCAAACACTGTCACTCTTTATCAGACATCACCGTTGTCCACCAAACATCAACATTCTCCATCAAACACCATTCTGAAACACCTATATTCTCCATCAAACACAATTATTCTGTAGTGAACACCCTCATACCCCATCAAACACTGTCACTCTTTATCAGACATCACCGTTGTCCACCAAACACCAACATTCTCCATCAAACAACATCCACCAAATACCATATTTTTCTAGCAAACACCATGATCCTAATGTTGACCACTGGCTTAAAAGGTTCCAGAAGAGAAGCTGACCATACAAATGTCAAACCTAACATTTGGTTTTATTAAACATTTGGTGTTTGTTGGAAAATATGGGTGTTTGGTGACGAATGTTGGTGTTTGATGCAGAATGTTGGTTTTTGATGGATAATGTTGATGTTTGGTGTATAATGATGATGTGCGGAGGAAGATGTTGGTGTTTGGTGGTGAATGTTGGTGTTTGGTGGAGAATGTTGGTGTTGGGTGGAGAAAATCGGGTCTACATGCGCTGTAAGATTTACTTTAACAGTTATTTGCGCTGTGCTCATATTACTCGCACACATACAATAATATTCCCGGACAAGCAGCTCTACCCAGAGGATCCTTCACTGTGGCCGGGGTCTATTCCTGTCTTTGTACACCCACACTCAGTAACGCTGGTGGGGTTGAAAGGCGGTCTGTCAGCGTTGATCTTTCAGATGGCTGTGGAAAGTTCTGCTGCGTGTCAGTGTGCGTTTGTGAGTGTGTATGACAGTGCTTAAGGGTCTGTCTCTCACACCCAGCTCATGTGTATATGTGGGTGTGTCATAAACCAGCTTAAGCCGATTTCTTAACCTACTTATTCACATGATAAATGGATACATTTGGAGATTTGTTTTTTTTTTAATAGACCTTATTAACCATTTAGATTTTAACAGTTTAACAGTAACTAGGGAACTAGGGAAATTGTACTCCATTTTAAAACATACACAAACATGATCACAACCACTTCCCCAGTATGTGTAGAGACAAGTAGGCTAGCAGAACAGAGGCAGAGAAATCCACATTTACAGACACAAAGTCCGTATATGCAACTTTACTCTGATTGACTGAATAAAATTGCAAAGTATAAAGGGGAATATGTTGATTTTTTAAATTTGTGTTTGTAAAAAAGGCTGTAGAGAGATATTGTCCTAGTGATTTACATCAATTTAATTAATTAAGCTTTATTGATATGACCATACCCAGTTACATCACCACCCAGTTTAGTTTCAGTGCACTGTGTGGCACAAGTTAGCAAAGCTGCTGTAGCACAGTTTCTCAGTGTGTTTGCTTGGTACTAGAGACGCAACGTGTTGTTTTGAATGAAACGCCATTGGTAACTGTCTGTAGACAGTCTGTGGGGGCTACATTTCACATAGCATGCCAATCAGACAGAGTGTTTTCATACAGTGTGAGCAAATAAATCATTGGTCTCTTCAGACATACAGTGTTAGCAAAGAACAAGATTTCCAAAATTACACTACTTTAGAGGACATTTAACTACAGCTCAACCAATCAAAGAGGACATTTAGAGGACATTTAACTACAACTCAGCCAATCAGAAAGTCCAACAAGATGTAAAACTCCACAAGTGAGCTCTTCACATGCACTAGCATTGGATATGATTTCTGCTATCACTGTGCTACACAGACTGTTAATGAAAGAGACCAGTGAAGAGATCAATATTGTGAAACCTACTCACAGCTGTTCAGAAATGCTTTTCTGACCTGGAACAAAACCCGCTCTGCTCCACTGCAGCGCTACTTGATGAGGTAACTAATGTAGCAAAGCAAGCTAATGCACTTTATTTAAATTTTAGATTTTAATGATTTAACTGTTAAGGTACATTGCAGTCATTTACATGAACAACTACTACTTCTAAGTAGGTTACTCAGTATGGTATCGGTATTGGCATCAGCAAGTATCAAAAAACATGTACTCTTACTCGGTGTGAAAAAAAAAATGATTTCGATGCATCCCTAATTGTAACAAATGGACACTTTATAGCAGAGGTTCCCAAACTTTTTCTTCTTTTCTTTGTCTTTATGACATAAAACATAAACTTGACCAAATGTGCTTGAGCTTTCACGCCACTTTTATGTATTATACTGTTTAATCAACTAGTGTGATACTTGGCTTCAGGAGCATTACGCTGGCATTAAGGAGGTCACCACTTACATTAGGGTCCAAAATATACTGGAATCCTCAGTGTCTACTGATGACAGATTTAAACAGCAGCTGTAGAGTCATTCATAGATTCATACACTCCTCAGAAAAAAAAGCATCAGCAGCAGATTTGACATTATCTGTGTTACAGTTCTTGAGACGATCTGCTCACTGCAAAAAAAAAATGAAGCATTTCTCGGAGAACCTCTCAGAGAACGTGCTGATACTAATCTCAACACAACACACTGGAGACCACTGACCAGAATGGATTTCTTCTATACCCCAAAATTCAATTCTGCTAATTTATTCAAATTTTGGTAGAAGACATGATTAAAGCCAAGTTTCCTCTGAGATGGACAACATTCTGATGCTCTTTTCAAAATGCCGAAAAATGCTAAAAACTTTGGAGCTAACCAGTCAGTTTCTTCTATACATTCCATACTCCATAATCTAATCTCACTATTATTCACACTGTGGTAGAAGACTTAGTAGAAACGACTACTTGGAGAATTAATGCTAATCCCAAAATGCTAAAAACACTGGAGATATTTGACCAGAATGGGACACTTCTATACTATACTTTCATATTAAAATAGTAAAAAAATAGTAAAACATTAGCAAGAACAGTACATTTTTTCTACACCTTCCATTCCGAGGAATCTAATTTAATTGTTTTAATGTGACTGTTAGAAGTTGATAGAAGCTAACTCTTTTCTGAGTTGGAGAACATATCGATGTACTTATTAAAATGCTAAAAACACTGGCAATAACCAGTCACATCTTTCCAAACCTTCTTCATACCTGAAACTAATCTCACTATTTAATGTACATTGTGGAGGAAGGCTCGGCGAAGGCTTCATAAGCTTTGAAGATATTTTCCTCAAAGAAACAGCTCCACAGTTGTAAAGAACAGATTTTTCCAACAGATTTGATTTTCCTCATTTCTTCTTTCATAAAAGTAGCGAAAAGGGAAAGCATCCATGCATTCAGACGTTGGTGAGGCACGCTTCCTCATGAATACAAAGAAGCTCCAGTGGATCCACCTGCCAAGAAATTGCAGTGTTCAAAAATACAAACTGCTAGTTTGGATAGCATAATTGAGCGATACGTCTGCGGCAAAAGGAACGAAGAACGCATCTGACAAACGCAGCGAATGATTTCTACTTTTGTGTCTACTTTTGCTGTCAAAAAGGGAAAAAAGGAAGCTTTGAAAGGACAGAGTTGCAGAACATCAGCTCCCAACCCCAGAAAAAAAAGAAGAAATTGTCCAGCGTAGCGTGAACAGCACTGGTGCAGAATAAATTCAGTTTTATCTTAATAACGCCTGCTATTGCTAATCTAACCCCCATTTTTCTGTCTTCTCCCTCTGCTTTCTGTGGAGCAGCAAACCAGACAGGTAAGACGGAGAAGAATCAGACAGCTGGAAAAGGAAAAGATTGCTTTCCTGCTCTAAGACACCTGGTTATTATTAACCCTTAGAAGTTGCAGTTATTGCTGGTGATGATTAAATCATGCTGTAATTGTATATGAATACTTTCTGACTTGTAGCTCGGTGAAATGAGTGGAAAAATTGTGTGGAAGTGCAGATTCTAAATTTTCAATCTGTACCACATTTGTGTCTGTAAGTATTGAGATCTGTCTAGTCTTGTTTTATACTCCTTTACATCGTCTTGCCTTTTTTTGTTTCTGAAAAAAAGGCAGAAGTGCAAACTCAAACCTTTCGATAATTAACGTAGTTGCAATCCAATGCTTACATATTTACGTGATTATATTTGAATAGTATGACAAAACGATGGCAATAATCCAGACTTTCTAAAGGTTAATACCTTTAAAATCAGGCCTGTTAGAGCAAAGAAAAAGCTAAACAGGTGCAGTTCATGGAGTACCGAGGCCTGTGATAGGCTTAAAACCCCCCAAAATGCATTTATTCATGAATTTAGCGCTGGCCTTCCTTCATCTTTGAAGCTATAGGTATCACTGTGTTTTGTTCTGTAAGAAAAATGTAGCTTAGGGTCTGTCAGGCGTTACTGAATGACTGAAGTCAATACTCATCACTTTATATCTCTGTATCTCTTTTATATTAACTAAAATGCTTGCAGATTAATATGAAAATTGATTCGGTCATCATACTTATGCTACTCCTTATAAAAAGAAAGAAATATTGTATGAACGGAGCTGTAGAAGGTTCCAGAATGAAGTTATAACAAAACTAATATCCAAAATTAAGTTAAATTAATGTTCAGAATGGATTTCTAAATAACATTGATATCCAGAATGAAGATCTATTAAAATTAATATCCCGAATGAAAATCTAGTGGAATTGATATCCAGAATGAAGTTCTAATAAAATTAATACCTCAATGATGTTCCAATAAATTAATATCCGGAATGAAGTTCAAATAAAATTAATATCTCAGTGACATTCTAATAAATTGATATCCAGAATGAACTTCTAATAAAGTTAATATCTCAGTGACGTTCTAATAAATTAATATCCAGAATGAAGATCTAATATAATTAATATCTCAGTGACGTTCTACTAAATTAATATCCAGAATGAAGTTCTATTAAAATTAATACCTCAGTGATGTTCCAGTAAATGAATATCCAGAATGAAGCTCTAATAAAACTGAAATCCAGAATAAAGTTGTAAATAAAAATGGTGTACAATGCGTATAGTGTTTCTTTCCTCATCGTAAAGATGATTAAAGTATATGAAATTACACAAATGATCAATATGATAAGTGATTCAAAGCCTAAGAGCAGTAGATACATCCACTCTGTGATGCTGAATCTCTCTAGCAGAAGAGATTTGTACTCATTTCACTGCTTTAGTCTGGAACTCTCCTGGGAACATCTTGCTGTAAGCGTTGCGTGATGTCATCCTGAACCTAAACCCTTTGATTTGTTGAATGAAGCCTCTTGCCTTGTTGGAGGAACTCTTTTTTGTCCTGTTTGCTTCAATCAGCAGTTTCTTTCCTGTAAGAAGTTCCTGTAGTGCCAGGCTGTAAAACTGCTGAGTTACACAGCATCTACCAAAGACTTTATCTTACCTTTATATGCTTTCATTTTACTGTTCTGCCGTTTAGAGGCATGAGGACCGTTTGCAGGGCGCTTTACCTTGTTCTTAATGGTTTCGGAATGTACTTGGCATTAGAGAAAAAGCTCTGCAAACATAGAGCAAGGAAAACATCAAATTTACACAGATTTTCCCAAATGTGGTCGATCAGCCAAGACATTTATTGATGTACTGTGCAAAAGTCTGAGATCCTTCACTTATTTATTTCCAGTCAATACAGTCTTTAAGTAGAAGCTGTCCATTTTTAAGGAAATATGTGCGAGGAGATTAGATATCAGATAAATCCACCTGCATAAGGAAGGAGAAAGTCAAAGGAAAATAAGTGGACAAACAAGCGTTTCCAAAACGAGTTCAAAAACTGATTAAAGCTAAACAGACTCCTAACAAAATGAAATTCCTAAAGACCTGGTAGATACCAAAACTGTCCCCATCAGAGAAACAGCATTTTAAGCTTTCGTCTTTGAGAAATAGAAGAAAATCACACTTCTGATTCAGATCTGAAAACAACCACATGATCAAGTCTGTTAGAGACTACTGAATAACTCCACAGTTTGAGGCACGTGTTACCTGTTAGCCTCACAGTGCTAAATTAAAGAAGCAAACCTCAGACACCAAACATGTCTTGGCTGATTGTCTAGTGCTTTAACCCTTTAATGTAGCACACATCGGGTCTTTAAGTCAAAGTTCATGTTGTGAATATCTCTGTAATGCAGATTATGTTGTTAAAATAGTATGAAAAATTGAATAACTCAATGTATTCAGTTTTCAGTAGGACAGCGCATAGCTTTAAAAATGAATAGCTGAGCTCAAGGCATAAGTAATGACTCAGAGAGTCATCTGTTACTAATGCGTTTCTGTATTTGTGTGGATTAATATGTAAATCCTGCCATATGGCCAAATAACGTAGTCTGATCATTACAGCCTTATTCACTAAAGCATGATCTGTGTGATCATGTCCTGTAAAGAATAGCCTAGTTAGCTATGCTCCATTCTTTCAGCACAAGCAGTCTTATGCTGTTACTCATCAGCTTTCCGCACAGCTGATTGTGGAAGAATGAATTGATCTGAAAACAATACGCCTTCGTCGCTAAGCCTGGTCACGGATGGTATCTGGAAAAGATCAGAAATCAGACACTTCCTGCGGGTGCCAAACTATGACAACCTATCCAGAAATGAACAACAAATGAAAGCAAAAAGGCATTTTCTGCATGGCAAGATACCTCTACCTCTCTTTATTTTGATGGCTCCCTGCATCTTTATAGTTCAAACTATCTGGGTGAAACTCATCTGATTATCAGTAGGGTTAGATTACAGTTTTGGGTTAAGATTAAAATGATAGTTCAGCAAAAAAAGAAAAAGAAAAAGGCAGTTTTCCCTCTTAAACACAAGCGGTCAACCAACATTTTTGATGTCTGAAGTTTACTTCAGGGCAAAACTCAGTCTTCAAGAGTGGCTCCTGCTATACTGTTTTTAGCTATCCTAGCATACTTTTGTCCATGTTTATAGATAACTGTATGTCATACAGTGTCAGAAACCACATAAAAAGTCTATTAGAGATTACCTAACAACACATGGTGTTGTGATGATTTAGGCTTGCGGTTAGCACAATGCTAATTGCTAGACATTACTTGTTAGCTACATTAGCCTTATAGCTCCAGTGCACAACTATAGAAACAAATTGGCTGATTGATAACATTTCTCATAAATGGGAAAACTATACATCCATCCATCCATCCATCATCTAAACCGCTTACACTATACAAATATGATTTTATTGCATGAAATATGACATCAGTTTAGGGTTATTGTTAGTTAATTCAGAGTGGTTTGATGAGAAATGATTCATTGTAGAGACTCAGATTTCTTTACAGTGGTAGTGATAGAAACCAGAAGTCACAACGTCTACGACACAAATATAGACACTTTATTTACTACCCAAAACATCCAGTGAACCTACATGTGTCTTCTGAGTTTTATATGTGATGTTAATGATGTTGAAATAAAGATAAATCTGAAAATATAAGTTTTCTTTGGGGACCTTTTTGCCTCAGTATGGCTTGCATGTACATCTCCACCATGAATGGTTTTAAAAAGTTCAATTTTAGACCAACTTTTTATCTCAAAACTACCAAAAACAGTGTCTCAGACATCAGGCAGCGAATTCCTAACCATTTTATGAAATAACTTTCTTTGAGGGAGATTTTAGAGGTGGACGTCTGGTTCCTATCACCACTACTGTGATCAATTCTGACTTGGTGAGCTTTTCTAGAACAGAGCATTTCACACCAAACCACTCGGAATGATTTTGTTTACATCATTACTATTTAATTATGCAGAAATTGTGAAAAAAATAGTGGATTTCAATTTTAATGTAGTTTTAATAGAGATTTAATTGAATGTCCATTAAATAAAGGTGAACTTCTACAAAGCATTTACAGCGAATCATCAAAATAATCACACTTTTCTCTGATGTTTTAGGAAACGAGCAGAGTCAGAGGCGAGGAAAGGCAGTCTGCCCAACAGCAAAGAGATGCCTTCCCATCATCCCACTGATCCGGTGGAGCTGCGCAGACTCAATTTCCAAACCCCTGGTAAGTACAGTGAAGTGTAATCATCCTCATCTTCATCAACAAAAGACATCATAAGCGTCTAAAACCTGATTCCAGATCTCTGTTTTTGCTTTTGGTTCATCCTTAATGATCTTACAACACTGTTCGGATCACTAATCAGCATTGTGCATCTACAGTTTCCACTTTTAATTCCCAGCCTCTTCTTCCAGATGTATGTTTCATGCTCTGCCCACAAATGCTTTTCTTTTTAAAAGCAACTGTTGCAAGGTTGGACAAGCATTGGCAAAAATTCCATTCAACACAATGAGAAACTGTAGAACAGACTCAGTTTATATCACAATACCTACATTTAGAGTGAGATATTCATTCAACCGAATGAGAAACTGTAGAACACACTCAGTTTATATCACAATACCTACATTTAGAGCGAGATATTCATTCAACCTAATGAGAAACTGTAGAACAGACTCAGTTTATATCACAGTACCTACATTTAGAGTGAGATATTCATTCAACCTAATGAGAAACTGTAGAACAGACTCAGTTTATATCACAATACCTACATTTAGAGTGAGTTATTCATGCAGGTATTCTTAGTGTGTAAGTACTGTGATATAAACTGACTTATGTTCTTCAGTTTCTTGTTAGGTTGCATCTGGGTTTTATCAGTGTTATCTAATGCTTGTCTCACCTAGCAACAGTTGCTACCAAAGAGCACATTTGTGAGCTGAAGTATAGATAGGTACTAGAATCATAAAAGAAAACTCTTCTAAGCATTCATTGCATCATCTTAACTTGCCCAGATGTCTTCCTTTGGCGATCGTTTCAGATTTTTTGCTTTGAGCACCTTCAGTTTTCAATTGTGGTCCATCTAAGATACCTTAGAATGGAGAACATGTTTACTGAAGCTAGCCAATACATATGGCTGTAATCACACCTCAGAGAGAATATGTGAACGCATCTGCTTTGGGAACAGGAACCAAATCTGATCACATTCTAATCACTCTTGTTCGCACCTGCCTTTTAAAAGGGATCTCAATGGAATATGGATGCTATCTAGACATGTCCAGAAGCGTCGGTGCTTTGCCCGAGAATTTGTCAAAAATGTCTGGTCGTTGGTGTTGCGTTTCACTTTGCCTTACACGAAGTATCAATTACACTCATTTCCCAGCAGTTTAGAGCTCAGACTTTTGGAATGTTTAATTATTTGTTCTGGTTGGAACTTGTAGACTGAATGAATGTACAACATTGGTTCTCAATACCAATCCTGTTTCCCTGCCATAGTCTCAGCATCAGATGCTTTGCCCACACATGGAGTATCTAATATCTATTGTACATTAAGCTGTGTTTGGCTCTCCACATGTCCATATGTACACACTTTCATGCAGTAGTTTTATCAGTCCTTTGGGAAATGCATGAATACAAGTAGTCACTAAGCCTTTTGGAATGAAGTTTCTGGACTGAAAAAAGTTCACAACGTTACAGCTTTAAAAGCTTTTTTTGAGAGGTTTGTTTTTTGAAGATTTTTTTAGCTTTTGAGGGAGCTGTCCTCTAGAGTTTGCCACTGTAGGTTTGTTTTTTGTTGCAGGTCCGTTTCGAAAATCACCTGCCTTTATATGTCATGCTAAAACAGCTGATACAACTGTGGTTGTCAGTCAAACTGCCCTTTCTTGTCAAAGTAAGCAGTTCTTGGTTATATTGAGCAACAAAACACACCAGACTCTCTGATGATATGCGGAAGTCTGGCTTGCGAGACTATCCCTGCCTTAACACACATGATACAGCAGCTAATGAACAAATGAGCTAAGTAAGAGTAGTTCAGCTAATCATATTTCCCTCTTTCTCCAAATGCAGTCGATTAGCCACTACGTATTTTGTGCCTGAGGTTTGCCTCTTTAGTTTTGCACTAAAGTTATGAGGCTAATGTAGCTAACAAGTAATGGAACTTAGTGATTGTGGCTTGCAATTAGCATTGTGGAAATTGCATGCCTAAATTGCATGCTTGCCTTAAGTATTGCTGGGCTGTTAAAGGGGCGTTCCGGCCTAAAACCAGCATTGAACCAGTAATTTGTCAAGTTTTGTAGCAGCATTAAAGTCCACATATACAATCTTATATCCCATTTGTGTTTTCATCCATCAGCATCCTCTTAGTACAGTCCCCAACATACGTTGCACAGATATGTCAGACAACCATTAGTAACATTTCTGATCCTGAGTGCTAGCATAGCCACTGTAACATTAGCTTTTGCTTTTCTGCATTATGCAGTGAGCAGGAAAAAACATTTCAAATGCCTATCTCCAAAAAGCCACTGTAGTTTTTCCTCCAAGCTTCAAGACACATCGCCAGAATGGGGGTTTTCATACTCTTTAAATGGGAATTCTCAGTCTAGAGACTATTGTAACACCATTGTAGGAGGTAAGCAGATGTGTTTACAACAGATGAAGCATTGGTTAGATTATCATTGTGGCCAGAGTACTGCTTGAAGTAATTTCAGATAGACTTGATTATGTGGTTTCTGACACTGTTGTTCTCTATAAACATGGACAAAAAGACACTTAACTAAAGCATAGCCAAAAATGGTAGCAGCGGCTATACTGAAGCCCGAAGTTAGTTTTTTTATTTATTTATTTATTTTTTTACAGATAAGCTACACTAGCCTAATAGCTTCAATTAGATTTATGAAGTTATTTATAACTTATTTCTGTTTAAAGAATATCACATGTAACAAAAGCATACGGTCAGGTTCCTAGAGGTTAAAAACTTGCTTTCAGTGATTGTCTGCATTGTGTGCTCTCCTGGGAAAGGGCTGACCCATTAGCCTTGTGGACACTAAGGTGTGCATGTACTGGAAAAATTAGCCGGAGTGCTACGCCAACAGTTCTCAAGGTGTTTGTTTGGCCACAGCTGCTCTACTGTACAGATGAATGGAGTTGCTTGATAGGCTGGACAGGACGAGACAGGAGTCCAATAAATAAAGAAGGTCAAAGTGTCTCCAATGAGGGGCAGATAGAGGAAGAGCAAACACAGCTGACCTGAGAACAGGTCAGACTGCTGTGGAGCATCAATAATTGAAGAGTGTCTTCTGAAATAGCCAGTAGTCGATACTGCATTGTGCAAAAGTCTTGTTAAAAACTGTTCATGTAAACACTAGAATCAACACAGATAAACATAAATACAGTTTTTTGTTTGTTCAGTTCCATCAGCAGCACCTGATTTAATTTAATGAAGGATTAATTAGATAAACTAGGTTATTGGATGGTAACCGTAAATACTGGACTTGCTCAAGGAGAGATCTAGAAAGAATTAAGCTAACGCCCACAGAGCAATCACAATGGTTTGGTTATTCGTGTTTATTCTAAAGTTGAAATTTTTTTGACCAAATGAATGTTCACTGTCCAGATGAGTGGCTTTACAGATCGCTTCTTAGATGCCAAAAACTTTTGCACAGTACAGGGTAAGCAGAAATAAGTGATGTTTAAGAGCCACTAATTTAAGTGATAGTGTCATTAATGATAATACTACTAATAATAATTATTTATATCACACCTTCTCCAATATCTTGAAGTGCTTTACAGGAAGACACACACATTGATACAAAGACAAAATTATGTACAGATGGAGAGTGTCAGGCAGGTAGGTACCCCCTTCAAAACTACTATGGTTGTGTGATTAAAGCCACCTATGACTAAAGGCTAGAAGACAAGAGCTAGACGCTGCTCTTAGTTTTTCAATTTAGTTTTTTACATTTGAAAATAGATAATTTAGTAGATAATACAGTTTTTTGGTCAAAAAATTGTGCAATCCACATAAAAAACAAGGTTGAAGTCAGGTTGCATTTTTATCAATTGTTGGCCAATCATAGGTTTGTAATTTAGAAATTTGGAATATCAAGTTTGACTTTCTGTGGTATAGGAATCTTGTCGATGCCGGATGTATTTGGATATGGATGTATTTATGAAATGTAGATATTGGAAATACCTGGATTAGCATTGTAGAGAAACAACATTTATTTCTATAGGGTAACAAATTTAGCCAAATGATATTTTAGTGCAGTAAACCAGCGGCACCTAAACATTCTGCAGTACAACAAATTTATTATCAAATATTGGTTTGAATTACCACAAAGTCCTTATAGGAAAGTCTGTCCGCTCAGTAGCGGTTTTGGCAACATGTCTGGGCAGTTATGTTAAAATGTTAAAAACAGCATAAATAGTTAGTAGCGTTTGGCTCAAGTAACACAGATAAAACACTTTCCAGATTGTTCTGGCTACTGCGCATGTGCATATCTCCACAATGAGGGGGGAGCATTTCCTGCTTGCGGCTTAAACAGCAAGCTGACTGGCTCATTTTATTGAAAGGTGGGACTATCCTCATAAACAGCTGAGCGTTACAAGCTTTCCTGTTCATATTTCAACCGTTGACCGTTTTTTATATACGGACATCTGATATCATTGTGGATTCCTTATTATGTTATTTTAGAATATCAAATCAGACTTTCCGTGCGATATGACAAAGAAGTAATATCACAATTCTTAAATACAATTTGTCGGTACTCAGTATGCATCACACATTTAAAAAAAAACCAAAATATATGAATACAGTGATTTTTGTTTACTGTTTTACGTACTGCACTGCATTAAATACAGTTAAACAAGGCTAATGATGCCCTATTTGTAATGAAACATGCAGTGATTTAGCTTTCATGAAGTACTGACGATATCCACAGCAAGTTCAGAAAAGCATAGTGTGACACAACATGTAATTTATCATGGTATCGATAAATATCATCATATTGCCCACCCCTGAAAGTGAACTCCTAGATTTATCTGGCCCAGGAGCACTGGAGTGAGAAAGAGAGAGCAAGGAGGAACGTAGAAGTTGACAAGCTGTGAACATAACTGTTCCCCCTTAACCTTGGCTGACGAGGTGAGAACCACTCGGCCACTTGAATCAGCCAGCCGTAAAGACCTGTACTGTGTATATATATATTTATATTCAGTCACTGAATGCACTTGCATTCCAGCCTTACTGTGAATAAGCACGTCTGTGGGTGGAGCATAGGCCAATTTCTTTTAATTATTAGTCCAGTCAGTGTTGGGGCGTTCATTGCTTTCATCCTTGGAAAGCTAATGTGGGGTTTAAAGAGGTATTTGTGGTGGCTTAGCTTTTGTGACAAGCATTAATCATTCAAAAGAATAGTTTGGCAAAAAAAAAACCTAATTTACATAATGTCCTCAAATGTAATAACTGAAGTTTGCTCATTTACTTTTTTATTGGAGCTGTGAGGCTAATGTAGCTAACAAGTCATGAAAGCTAGTACCAATCACCAATCAGCAGATTAGCATGCTAGAAACTGTATGGAGTTGTTAAGTAACCTATAATAGTCTTACTTTTGTGGTTTCTAGCTCTGAATGACACACTGTCATCTGTGAACACTGGCTAAAGAACATTAGCATAGCTGACATATCTTTTAGCAGTTTAGCCATCCTGAAGTCTGGATTTTTATCCATGCCTATAGATGTTCATCAGAAACCACTTAAGCGAGTCTATTTGAGATTACTTAACTCCACAGGGTTTGAGAGAGTTTGTACAGTGCTAATTTACTAATTTGTGGGTTCCTAGTTAGCCACATTACTAAAACTGAAGAAGCAATTTTAGACACCATGATTAACTACATTTGTTGTTAGTTCGTCTAACTATCCCTTTAATTTGTTGTTAAAGTTACAGTGTATCACATTGAGATGCAGAAGTTTGAGCACCCCTGGTCAAATTACATGAATTTCTAAGTGAAAATAAGCTCATATTCTCTGCGGAGAGCACATTTCTGCACAATTTAATGCACAATTACTGTTTATTTGTTGAATTCAACACTTTTGGGGGTGGGGAAACAAAAATGTGGCCTGTGCAAAAGTTACGGCACACTGTGTATTTCATGTTTTATTTATTTTTCCAGTGTTAAACAGAAACTATGCACTAAACTTTTGCATACCATTGTGTGGCTTCGTCCTTTATGAGCTCTTGCTTGCCAAACAGCTCATCAGGAGAAACTCTCGCTCTCCTACGCTCCTTCTTCTCGTCTTTTTCTCCTCTGCTGAGAGCTTTCAGTTGAGGACCGCTGCATTAGTCTGCCACTTTTCCTCCTCCTCCTCCTCCTCTTCACAAACTCTTGATGGCGCCCTCCTCCATCTCACATTTTCATCTTGAGGGTGCTCGACGTTAGCGCGTTAGCGTGGCGGCGCGAGTGGCAGTTTCATTGTCGCCGCGGCTGGAAATGGATCTTGAGTGGCGGTGAATGGGTGCACTCTTCCGCCTCTCCTTCGCTTTTTCCATTAGCTAATGCCTACTTCTGTCAGCCGCCGCGATAAAAGAACCGTCCAGACATACATCCCCTCTCTTTCCCTCTCTCTCGCTCTCTCTTTCTCTCAAACCGTTTATTAGGGCCCACCTTCCACATGCTTTCTCCCCTTGACACCTCCACACCTTTCCCATCATGCATCTGGGCACGCTTTTCTTTTTTCTTCTCCTCCGCCGCTGCATTGCCGAATCCGCCCCATTTCTATCTTTCATACCCAATTTTGATCTGCACCTACAAATCTTTTGAAAAAAAGTAGTAAAATGATCTGTGTTCGACAGCCTCCACACGCCCTCAAGGTCACAGCTCTGCTGTGCTCTGAAGCAGAAAGACTTCGTATTTCGGCTTTGAACGGCCTCAAAACTTTCACAAATGCAGAAATATGTCATACAGCACTAGCATAACTAGCTTAGTTGTTCATGTCCTTAGAAGCTATTATTCTGTTTTGCTATTTCCTGATGGAAAATACAGTGTTTACAAGGCAAACAATATGAAGGAAAGAAGAAGGGAAGACAGAAGGAAAGAAAGAAAGAATGAAAAGTAACTAAGGAAAAAAAGGAAACAAAACAAAGAACAACAGTAATGAAGAAAAAAAGAAGGAAGAAAGAATGACAGTAATGAATGAAAAAATTAAAAAGTAAATTAGAATAAAACAGAAAGCAAGAAAGAAGGAAAAAAGATAAGGAGAAAGAAGGAAGAAAAAACGAACGAAAGAAAGAAAGAAAGAAAGAAAGAATAAAAACAAAAGAAAAAAGCTTGGTGAGGAGGAAGAAAAAGAAAAGAAAAAAGAAAGAAAGAATAAAAGAAGGAAAGAAGAAACGAGGAAGAAAGTAAGATAGAAGGAAGGAGAAAAAGAAAGAAAGAAAGAATAAAAAGAACAAGAAATAAGCTTGGTGAGGAGGAAGAAAAGGAAAAGAAGACAGAAGGAAAGCAGGAATAAAGAAAGGATAGAAGGAGAAAAATGGCAGAAAAAACTGAAGGAAAGAAAGAATAAAAAGAACAAGAGAAATGAAACAAAAACGAAGAAAAAGTGAGAGAAAGAGGAAAGACAGAAGACAAAAGAAAGGCAGAAAGAAAGAACAAGATGAAAAAGAAAAAAGTAAAAAAGAAGGAAAAATGTAAAGGAAGAAGAAGGAAAGGAAAGCAGGAAGAAAGAAGAGAGAGAGAAAGACAGAAACAAAGAAAGAATTGAAGGAAGAAAAAAACTTGGAATAATTCACATAAATGGCTTTTTGTTGGTTTTATCGCCAGTGACAGCTTCATCTTCTGAGAGTTAAATGAACATTGAATCTAATCGTGTTAGTGCAGCTCTGTTTATTCTGTATTTGTGATTGTTTATAAGTCTTTTTTGCGAGGTTCACTGTTTCTTGTCGTTTACTGAGAACCCTCTGAGCGTTCTCATCCACACGTCTCTAGTCGTGTTTATGTGCTGTCGGTTGATGAAGTGTTTCCTGCTCATCATTCTCTGAACCTCGTATAGCTCTTTAATTTGCGTGGTCAGTGCTGCTGTGCCTCTGTGTTAATTTGTGTATTGTTTTCTGCACGATAGTCTTTGTCGGCTACTAGCATGTAACAGTGTGTGTGTGTGTGTTTGTGTTTTTTTTTTACTAACAAGTCTGCGTGTAGAGCACTAGGGAAATGTCTCATTAGCATATGGAACTTGTGTTATTTGTGCAGCTTTATTTAATTTCAGGTGTATTTCACCACATTGCTTTAACCTCAGCGACATTTTATTTACGCCGGACCCCCCCCCCTTCGTTTTCCTTCGCAGGTCCTGGAGCCTCCGGTTACCCCAGTAACCTCCATCTGTCAAGTTAGTTGGTCTCGTTTATACATTCGCCATCCCTTTTTTTCTTGTTTTTTCCTCCTTTTCTTGTTCTTTCCTTTATGATTTTTTTCCCCATTTAATAATTAAGGCTAATTCACAAACGCTTCACTTCATGGCATCGCAAAGAGAACATTGTTGACGTTTTGTAAGTGGCGCTTGGTTTTTAGATCCATGTCATTCGCTAATTCGCTAGGCTACAACATCCAGGCCCTAACGTTAACGCTCCGTATTTTTTTTTTTTTGTTAGTTTGTTTTCATTTTTGTCTACCTTTTTTTTATTTTTTGTCATGTTAACCGGCTGGTTGCCGCTTGCGTGCGAATTAACATTCTTCTCTCGCACCAGGAATGCGCAGTTTTTGGAGAAGTTGGTTCTCATTGGCTTCCTTCGTCTCCATCTCCTGAAAGCATGCCACTGCTTTGAGTGATTTCTCTGGCCTAACAGCACTCACCTTTTTCCATCCCCTTACGAACCACATGCTTTTCACTAATTTATCACTGATGTGTTTGTATTGGGCTTTGCTGCTAGTGCTAAAGCCTCGTCTGCTTTGTTTCCTTTCTGCAGGCATGGCCAGCCACCCGCCCATCCCGATCATGGACCTAGCAGACCATCTGGAGAGACTGAAAGCGAACGACAACCTGAAGTTCTCACAGGAATATGAGGTACCAAACTGGAAGTCCATTGTAGTTGTGTGTGCATAGATGAATTGACCACTTCATCGTAAAGACCTTCCATATACCTCCACTCGCTGGCCACTTTGTTAGAAATATCTACCTTATACTTCCACTCACTGGCCACTTTATTAGAAACACCTACCTTGTACTTCCACTCACTGGCCACTTTATTAGAAACACCTACCTTGTACTTCCACTCACTGGCCACTTGATTAGAAACATCCACCTTGTACTTTCACTTACTGGCCACCTTATTAGAAACCCCTCCCTTGTATGTCCACCAACTGGCTGCTTTATTAGAAATGCATACCTTGTTGGTCCACTATATTTTTGTACATTTTGAGACTGTACTTCAGCACAATTTGCCAGCACTCCTCTACCCCATTTATCTGACCATAGGACTGCTGTTGACCAGAAATTATCTGGGTGAGCTATAGTCTCTAACTGTGCACTGGCAAGGTGGGGCTACAAGGGAGGGGATTTTAGTAAAGTGGACAGTGAGTGGACAAACAAAGGAGGTACATCAGAAGCAATATGACATAGTGATATGTGTGATATGACAGACAGCTTGAGGTTATCATACATTTTTGGAGCATTTCTATTGGTCTATTCATAATGACATGTTCACATAATATAAAGTGCATCTGGTGTTTTCATATGGTGTAAAAAATAATTACAGAAAAGAGGTTTTCGTGTGACAGTGATGTTGTATTCTGGAGAGATCATCCAGTTGGTCATGTGCATGATGGTGAACAGGCAGGTGGACGTCATTGTTTAAAATGTGTGTGAATCTCCGATCTTGAATGCTGGATATTCCTAATCCAGGCTGTGAAATAGTGCCACACAATCTTGTTCTCTCACGTGGTCCCAACAACATTCACCAGTCGCAGACAAATCACATGAATGTTTATTTCGTTTTGCCTGTGAGGCCTGCGGATGCTCCTGCTAGCTTGTATGCGAGAGAAAATGAAACATTTGTTCAATCACTTTGTCAGATTTAAAGCAGTTTCTTGGTCATATCTGCAGATAGCGGCTGGTTGGTACAGAATGTGGCGGAGTTGGAAAGGTCAAATCGGACACAGACCGCTAATCGTGTTATCTGTGGGCGCCGTTTCTTCATGGCCGTCAGAATGTCACCGCAGAAGCAAAAGCAATTCTAGCCAATGATGTCATAAAAGCAGATAAAGTCTGTGATGCTGTATAAGCAATTCAAGTCTGTAAACAGCTGAAGGCAGTTAAGGTCTGTGATGTCACGAAAACAATTCAAGCCTGTTATCATGTCTGTGACATCACAAATGCAATTGAAGACTGTGTTGTCATAACAGTAATTAAAACCTGTGATGTCATAGAGGCAGTTTAATTATGTGATTCTCTGAATGCAGTGTAAGTCTGTGCTGTCAATAAGGTCGTTTAAGTCTGTGATATCATTAAGGAAGTTTATTTCTGTGATGTCATAAATGCAGTTCAGATCTGTGACGTCATAAAGGCAGTTTAAGCTTATGATGTCATAAAAGCAGTTTAGGTCAATGATGTCAATACGTTCCAGTAAGTGATGTCACAGAAGCAGGTCAAGCCTGTGTGGTGATGGAAACAGCCTGCCATTGGCTGAGAGTGTTAGAGGACTCAGGTAAAGTCCTATTTATCAGCGTGTTTTTCCTTTTTGTTTTGTTTTGCTGGCGGAAGCGTATGAAAGCCTCAGGGTTACCGCTGATAGATGGAGTGTTAGAGAATGCAGTGCATGTGCCGGCCAAGGCTGGAGAGCAGAGCGGGATTTCATAGTTCTTTTCAGAGTCACTTACTGTGGGTGTCATGATAAACATTTGTGTGTGTGTGTGTGTATGTACATCACCTCTGCATTAGTCCAGTATAATCCATAAAGACATTTTTGTCTTTCATTTTAGTTACAGTCCTGTGCAAAATTCAGAGACCACCCTTTATTTATTTAAGACAGCCTTTTCAAAAATTTTGTATAATTAGATTGTTAAGATGTAAACAGTCATTCAGAGTGGTTTGGTGTGAAGTGGTTCATTGTAGAAACTCAGATGTCTTTACAGTGGTGCTGAAAGGAACCAGGGGTCACAATGTCTACAACACAAAAGTAGACATTTTGTTTACTATCCAAAACCACCAGTGAACCTACACGTGTCTTCTGAGATTTATATGTGATGTTGATGATAGTAAAATAAAGGAAAATCTGAAAAAAAAAAAAGTTTTAAAATACATTATAGGCCAACATCATATCTCAAAGCTATTGTATAACAATGTCTCAGACATCAGGCAGTGTATTCATATAACTGATGGTATTTTGCACAACTAATGCAATTTCTCAATGGCAAAAATGCAACATTATTTTATTTGCCTCTGTATGCCTCTGTACGATTCTTGCAACCTTTCACCAGCAACATGAACCCACTGTCCAATCACGGCCATCTCTGCTGTTGGCATGATGACAACCAAGATTGTAAAGCAGCCGTGTTCCAGCAAATAGAACTTTTTTCACAAAAATTACAGCCAACAAAGATGGTTCTACAATGATGCTTTAGTATAGGCAATCATTCTGTTTAAAACCATGGGCTGTATCCCATAGGCTGAATGCTTTCATGTTTAAATGGTTCTGTACGTGGTGAAAAGGTTCTTCAAATTGATGGAGAATGTGTTGTATATGGCTCTGTTTAGAAGCATTGAAAATGGTTCTATTTATTGCACCAAAAAGGGTTTTTCTGTTGTTACAAGCGTCACAATAGCTATACTGAACCATATACAACACATTCTCCATCAGTCTGAAGAACAGTTTCACCATGGATTAAAGCATACAGATGGTTCTTTTAATGTTCATGGTTCTATATAGAACCATTGCCTTTACTAAAGAACCTTTGAAGAACTGTCTTTATTAAGAGGGTATTTATTTTCTGACTGAAGCAATAAAGCTCTTCATGCTTTCACTTTCCTGAAATGGACAGTAGGCCAGTGTCACCGTTTGAGTGGGGAGTGAAGGACATTTTGCCTGTTGGCTTTGTGCTTCGTCTCGCTTGGAGCTGCATGAGTTACGGTGGTCTGAGCTCTGAGTGAAAGAGTTTGTAAAGTATTAGTCCCTGAAATGAAGTGGAGAAACTGGAAAGTGGAAAGCCCCCTTTTGAGAAGCAACAGACCTTCTCATAGACATTCTGGCCCTTGTTTTTGTAAGGTGCAAACAATTTGCTGAAATTTGCGTTGTGTCCAGTGTGTATAGAATTGATGCGAAAAAAGTCCATCTGAATATTTCACATTTTGCGTTATTTGGTGTTATAGGTTGGTGTATGATGGCCATTAACTATTTAATTATGCAGAAATTTGGAACATGTACAAGTCATTCATTTTTCAGCATTGGAAAAAAGCAGTAAACATATTTAACAAAAAAATTATGTAACTAAATATAATATGAGTTTTTTCATTATTTTATAGTATAGCATCCTTATATTTATTACAGCTTCCATTCTTTTCAGGAAACTTGCTTTCAGTTTCTCAACAAAATCTGCCGAGATAAAAGCTGATTCTTAGGGGTGGTCAGTCCATTGTTCTGAAAACAGCAGCAGCTTCTTTGGTTGATGTGATCACATCGTTCATGTGATCTTCTTTTCTCAGTAAGGGCTTCTTAACAGCTACACATCCTTTCAGACTCGTAATGTTGAGTGTCTTCTCACAGTGGAAGGATGGACAGAAACTCCTGTGGATGTTTTCAGATCTGAATCAAGAGTGGAGCTTTAAGTGCTGTTTATCTGGTGGGGTCAGTGTTGGTGGTCTACCACAAGTCCTGTTTTCTCTGTCTTTTAACACGGATTATTTTGTGTCTCATCTCCTGTGAAATATCTCCTGAAAAGAATGACTGGTACTTAATGGCTGTCTTAACTGGTACTGTATGTGCGTCATAACACTGCTGCTGTGAGTGTGGCACTGCGGCGTGTCCTCTCTTTGTGTGTTTGCCTTCACTGCTTCCAGAATATGAGGTCAGCAGCTGGCTCTGTGCCAAGCTGCCCCACTATTATTGAAGCTTAAGTACGTCCAATTGTAATTCCCGGGCACTTTTTCTTTTCTTTCTTTCTTTCTTTTACAACGGCACGGAAAGTCATTTTGGGAGCACAATGAAATGAGGCTGCTTTTCATTATGAGCAATGTTGCGACCCACTGTTTCAACATATTTGGATAAAATGCCATGGCTTAGCTGAAGATTTGTTCTCTCTTATAATGTGCTGTGGCTCAGCAATGTGACCTACACTGATAGAAAAATGCCACCACTGTGAATTATGCATTTTTTTTTTCCTCACCGTGCCCGGCTGCATTTGCACATTGTGAGGGGTATTATGTGGCCAAGTCGGGGTAATTTGCAGTTAAATTGCAGATTTTTCCACAGTAAAATTCATCCGTTTCTTACACTGTTGGCTCTTTCTTACACTGTTGTGTGGTGTATAAGACTGTAATGTTACAGGATGACTCCAGGCCTGAGCTGCTCTCTGCTATCTGCCATCCGTTATTGAACTGTTTATATTGTTCTGACCTAAACATATAGTTAGGTTATAGTTAAGTTAGTTAGTTAGTTAGTTTCTGATGTTAAAGGGCCTATATCATTAAAAACAGAACTCATTGGATATTAAAGAGGCCCTATCATAGAAAAATAATTATAGGGATATCAAAGAGCCCATATTATAAAAAACAACTATTCTGTGGATATCAAAGGGCCCACATCACAAAAATAAACAAACATTGTATGAATATTGAAGATTGCATATCACGAACAACCAAAACTCTATGCATATTAAAAGCTTGTATCCTGAAAATCAAATATATATATATATTTGAAAATGAAAAGATATATAGGTATATCTGCCACAAAAATAATTAAAAACAATATATATATATATATATATATATATATATATATATATATATATATATATATATATGCCTCAAGATGGGATTTTCACCTTTGAATTACAAGGCAATATGGATATTAA